ATAGATAAAGATAAACTGTAAACACCAATAATGTTCAGCAAAGTAAGATCTACAAATAAGTAATGATGACTAAATTTGTCAGTCGACCCCTTAAGGAGTTATTGCTCTTTATGGTCAATGTTTAACAATTTTTCGCAAATTTTGTAATCTTTTACAAAAATCTTCTACTCTGAAACTACTGAGACAAATTTAGCCAAATTTGGCCACAATCATCACTTGGGTATTTGATTTATAAAATGTGTCCAATGACCACGCCTACCAACCAACATTGGCGACATGGCTAAACATAGAACAAAGGGGTAAGATGCAGTTTTTGGCTTATATCTCTAAAACTAAAGCATTTAGAGCAAATCTGACAGAGGTAAAAATGTTTATCAGGATAAGATCTATCTGCCTTAAAATTTTCAGACGAATCTGACAACCCGTTGTTGGGTTGCTGCCCCTGAATTGGTGATTTTTCGGAAATTTTCGTTATTATCGTGAATATTATTATAGATAGAGATAAACTGTAAAAAGCAATAATGTTCAGCAAAGTAAGATCTACAAATAAGAAAGCATGATTATAATTGTCAGTCGACCCCTTAAGGAGTTATTGCCCTTTATAGTCAATTTTTAACAATTTTTCGTAAATTTAACCAAACTTTGACATAATCATCACTTGGTATCTATTTTTTCAAACGTGTTCGACGACTCCGCTTTACAACCAACATGGCAGACATGGCTAAAAATAGAACATAGGAGTAAAATGCAGTTTTTGATTTATATCTCTGAAACTAAAGCATAAAGAGCAAATCTGACAGGTGGCAAACATGTTTATCAGATTTAAATTTATCTGCTCTGAAATTTTAAGACGAGTCCCACAACCCGTTGTTGGGTTGCTGTCCCTGAGTTAGTAATTTTACGGAAATTTTGCAGTTTTTTGTTATTATCTTAAATATCATTATAGTATCTAATAATATCCTATATCTAATACTATTAATTATGATTTTAACCTTATTTTACATGATTTATAAAGCATCAGTAAATACAGGTGAGCGACACAGGCTCTTGGGAGCCTCTAGTTTAATGTTGTCAACGTCGTCATTTGAAATCATCCTTTTGAAAATGGTACATTTGTTGACCGCTATGAAATATCTGTTGTTCTGATGCTGACGGATATGCTCCTATTGTCAAGACCACAACCCAGTTTTGTATGTATCTGACAGAATTGTACTTAGAACAGAGTTTGTACTAATTTGAGCAACACGAAGTATGCGACATGTTGAGCAAGATTGGCTTAATTTTTGGGTGCACCTGAAATCATCCCAGGTTTTTGGTTGGGTTCCTGTTGCTCAGTCCCTAGTTTTCTTTGTTTTGTGTTGTGTACCTTTGCATTTCTTTTCGTCGTTTTCCTTTTTTTTTTTGTTTTGGAATTGTCTTACGTCATCTGCATTTAGAAAACCTTTTTGTATCTTTCGCCTCTCTTTTACAGACGATTTTATCCCTATTGTATGTGATGATTGGTTGATTTCATGAAATATAACATATATATGAATCATATCTAATGCAACAACAATGAAGTATACTACTATTTAATAGTTTTGTTGTTCCTTTCACTCTCAGAGGACAAGTAAGTAAATGAGCACATAGTAGGGTTTGTCATTATCCTATCTTTGATAAACTGCTACATTTCTAAAATTTTATTAAATGAGTTCATGATAATCCTTACAGGTATATTACATTACCTTGCCTTTGTTCGTACATTTATGGACACGATGATTTGTCAGTAAATTATTTGCGTTTAAAATTTTGAAATCACAAGGGTTTCATTCGTCCGGTTAGATATTGGCTTTGTCGTATTTAGCCCGACTTGTAGGAACGATTTGTAAATTATTCTCTTCTACTACGTTTCTATTTTGCTTTTCAAATGTTTTGATTCGAGCGTTGCTACGGAGTCTAAAATATATGAAACGTGCGTCTGGCGTGTACAATTTTAGAACGGGTATCGTTGATGAGTGTATAATAAAATTATCAGCAAATATTTCAATTAATTATTAATACTCAATTTTTAATGTGCGTTCTATACAAAACGTATGCATAACTTGTTATTTTCGAAATCAGTCCGTGGATGGTGTAAACTTCCCACTAACACATACACCATTACATCATTCACCATACACAATTACACCATACACCCTGTGCCATTACACCATACACGTTACACCTTTGCACCATACACCATTTCCCATTCTATCTACACCATCTGAAATTACCCAGAATGCAATTTCATTTCAAAGAGAGCATGCGACTACAAAATTATTTATTCATTTTAAAAAACGAATTTTGATCACAATATTGTAAATTAATGTATAAAATTAAAAATCAGTTCTTATCAATACTTTGCTTAGTTTTCAGCTCATATACCATTTATTCACATAATTCCCGATCGCACATAACAAAATAACACCATTCCTCATACACCATTACACCATTAATTTTCCCCTTACATAATACACCATATCACTATACACCTTTTACCATTGCACCATATATTATACACCAATACACCATGTTATATATGCCTTTAAAAGCTAAATTCCTAAAGCTGTTATTCACTTTTGTTTTCTACCTTAATAGACGTATGCACAAATCAAATAAAAGACAGTAATAGATTGTTTATTTTTACATACAAAAATATACATTTCAAAAATAGATATATGTAGAAGAGACCTAATTTTGTCGAGGATATTTAGATTTTATTGACGGTAAAAAAATCATTTGTGTTTGAATGTATTTTTTGTAGGTATGTTTTGAAGATAATGATAAGTCCAAATCTTTAGAACAAAAAAGCATTGAAAAATATTTTCCTTCAACGATTTTGATTATGCTGAATTAACGCAGTTTACAAAAAAGAAAATAAACGATTGATTATTTTTTTTAAATGTATGTTTGTATTTTGTCTAATATATGGTTAACAAAAAAAAATATCATGTTTCATCAACATGTCCCAGTGACAGATATATTTTAAACATATTTTTTGCATTGCAAACCTTGTTTGATTGTATTATAAAAAAAATGATGAAAGAAGAAGATTACAACAAATGATGTCTTTACCTAAAAGGCATGTGTCAGGGTATATTAATAAGACACGTGACAACAGAAAGCGATAAAAAAAAATATATACTAAATTTTTGATATCAATCAATGATGACAAAATGATTAAAATGAACTCTGTCTATCAATTTGTAATTATATACACTTGTTTTTTTTTTTTTCAGAGATAAAACTATTACAATGAATTCGTTATACTGCTTTGCATATTGTAATTTGAGACTTTAAAAACTGTTCTGTTTTTTTTTTTTTTCGTTTACGGTTAGGTGAAAACATATTGTCAATTATTAAGACAAACTAAAGAAAAGCAGTAAGCTGGAAAAAAACTTATGTTCATTAAGTTGTTAATTATAATGAGATCGGATGACAGTTTGCATTGTATATGGAAATATAAGCTGTACGACAAATTATAGGTTTTAAATCCAAGAAATGACCACAAATGCTTTTAGTTTTAATAATTAAAAAAAGTTATATGTTTTATTTCCCTTGCTCGAGTTGTAATAAACGACTGGTTCAAATCCGTACATACTTCAACATGGTTCTTCAGAAATGGTGAGGTGATGATTTTACTTTCAAACATTTGCTGTATTAATTTTTATCGTGTTTTGCTTTTTGTCTACATTTCAATTGACAATCCAGAGGCCCACTATACCAAGCACAATTCTAATTTTCAATTACTTCAATTACTTTATCTTAACAACCAATGCACAATCCTACATTTATAGATGCATAGTTTCATTGTGTTAAACAACTTATATATAAGGTCGCCTAGGAAGCGGCAATCAAAATAAAAACGTACGAACAAAAAAATGAATTGACAATAAACAGTCAAAAATGACAGATAACTATAGGAAGTTCAAAAACTCGAATTCGTGCATTTAAAAAAAACATCCGTTGTTATTCGATCAAGTCCTAAAGACGAAGACATCGTGCTTGTTGCTTTGATATCCATGGAAACCTGTGATATAGATTGTTCACTTTAACTAATCCGATCATAATTGCAATAGCATGCTCTAAAAGGTTTAAAAATATGACACCAAATACTGAGCATGCAGCTAACAAACTTATTTTAGATATATATTTCTTTCTGAAAAAGATCTGATATTTTCTCGTTTTGCACTTTTATACCACAACATTTGTGGATTTCCTTTAGAACGTGTCGACACTTTTATTTTGTAATCAACAATTACCTGCTTAAAACTTTTTTTTATACATAGCTGATTAATGTCAATATCCTAACTCAAGGGTACTACACCATGACATCTACTAATTGTATCACACATATACCGTAATTGACTTATTTTCTAGCTATGTATTACGTACATGTTAATTCTGTAACACAATAAAATACGTACATTGTCGTTATATTTGTTTGACGTCAAAATATAATATGTGTATGTACAGCATAAATAGAAATAAACACATCATAAACTTTCCAGGAACTGGGTTTTGATAACGTTATGTTTATGTTTACAATGTTAGTGATATATTCAAGATATATGTCAATAACCAGAAGACCGCAGGTTAATTCGTTTAACTAAAATTGACAAATATGTCTGTCAGTCCATATATCTAATGAACAAATTGTATTATACTTTAATATGCCACACAGGTTTTAATTGACCGTGTTCAAATATTGCCTCAAAAGCATTTTTATATGTTTACGAAACAAAAGATTTTAGATAATATATATTCTATGTTCTAAATCGCTTATGTGCAAATACATTTCCATTATTTATGTTATCTTTGCTAATCCATGCTTCCCGATTATAATTTGCATGACTTTGTCAATAGTATATCTATTTAAAGTTGGTGGTTCAATTCGAATGACTACAGACAATAAGGAAATTACACGGTTTGAATCGAGATTAAGTGATAATTCATATATACTCATCCCATTTGGTATAGCAAATCATTTAATATTCGATAACTACTCAAAGTGGAGATATATCATACATACATTATTATTGAATCTTCAAGTGAGTATATCAGAATTAACTGTATTAAGTCGTACTTTTTTTTTAAATAAATTGAGAGGTATCGAGACAGTGTCACATTCAATTGTCGTTTCGTGATACTGACATATGATGAAGTGCGTAATAATCTTTTGGAAAAAATCACAAATCGAAAAATAGATTTTGAGATATAAGAGGTTCAAGAATTTGAATTGTTTTTTAACTTTTCGCCTTAAAATTCTAAAAAAAAACTGTTGTTTGTATAAATTAATATTGGTTATTTTTATATATTTAAAAACTATGATGTGTGTGCATGAGCGAAAAACAAAACAGGATTTTTTCAATTTGAAAATCATAAATAAGTTAACTCTGCCAACCTCTTGAACAGTTTAACACTTTTATCTTTCATTGATTCTTCCCTGTTTCTTCTTTTTTTGTATTATTCATCTTTTGTATTAGATTTTCATATTAAAATATGTAGAATAGAGTATTTCTTCGGGAAAAATGGTTAAATTTACATGAAATCATGCTTTCCTTTTTTTCTGAAATCAGATATAGTTATTATGTTGTCATAAGGAACCACCCCGGTAAAATGTATTTGTTGAGTGAGAATTAGCGTGTTTATAATCATCTTCCCTTAAACTCTATCAAGGTGATCACAGACTAAAAACCCAAACAAATTTGAAAAAAAGTAACTACAAGTGTTGAAATATCAATGCATACTTGTGCAATGTTTAGCTCGAACGAGTAAAAGTTTTAAGAGTTGATCCCGTTAAATAATGGTATCACGTGTTCTCTTCTCTTCATACATTACAAATTATCTTTCTAATCTGATTCCGAAACGGACATAGCGATTTCAAAAATAAAAACCAGAATATGAACTCAAAATGGAAACTTTTACCTAGAAACATCTTGAATGATTGGAATGATAGATGTGGATATATTTTTTTCAATTTATTTACCGTTGATCATTTTGAAAATTAATGCAAACGTTATCAAAATCATATTTATGATAAAAAAACAAAAATTAGGAAAATCCGCTATAGTACTGTTTAAGTAATATATATAAACAACATTTAATGAATATTACACTTGAATATCAATCTTGATTATAAAAAAATGTTTGAGATTGTAAGAAGATGAAAGTAAAAAAATAAATTAGGGGTTATACTCAATAAAATCCTTTTCATCTAACCCAAATAATACATTGAAGGGTTTATCACTGAACTATTATACATTTTTGTTTAGGGGCCAGCTTTAGCACGCCTCCGGGTGCGGGAGTTTCTAGCTGCATTGCAGACCCATTGGTGGCCTTCGGCTGTTGTCTGCTCTTTGGTGGGGTTGTTGTCTCTTTGACACTTTCCCCATTTCCATTCTCAATTTTATTTTATCATTTTGTTTTGTCCAGGACTATTTTACCCCGCTGACTTTTTAAATAGTTATCCGAAATAAAAGGAACCTGGTGAATAAAACTATTTGTCACACTGATTATCGTCCGTATTGTTAACATTCAGACTAACTTTAACCATTGAAAAAGGAGATGATTATGTTCTCAAAATTTCCCCAAAGTCATTTACCCTTTTCACTATCAATCTGCATATTACTTTATTGGACATTGTATTAGATTTTTTAAACAATTCCTTTGAAAAGTAAGTGATAAAGATTACCATTTATAAATATTGCCTTGCAAGCATTCACATATGTTAACAAAAGAATAAATGTTTGATAAGGTAAATCACTAGATGATATCATTTTAAATGTCCTCTCTATACAAAAAGATAACATCCCTATTACAATCAGTTGGAAATTTAAATGTATTTTGAAATAAATAACTGTCTTAATTTAAAATCTATATAGATATATACTATCCCTAGGAAGACAGATTTATATAAGTTTTTCAAAACTTGTTTCCAAATCTCATAATTGAATTTCATGTAGATTTGTACTACTTTATTGTTGTAATTTTTCATTGATACATACTGTTTAAACTAGGAAATATATTTGTAAACCTTTTACATTTCATCAAATAAAACCCTCTGAGGATATTTAACAAACTGAATGCACTTTTATATTTGATACACATACATCATTGAATGTATCAGGCATGACTTGACGGGAAGTGTGTGAGCAACAACACACAATAATTTTGTACCTTTTAAAAATTCCTTAATTCTTTGTCTCATAACCTCACATGTATACTTCAAAGGTAGGATAACTTGAGATTTGAAAAGAAAATCATCGTTTTTCCATTAAATGCATCTCCCTTAACCTGAATTTACACATTTTTCTCTTTTCGCAATTTATCATTTTATCTTTTTTATTTCCAAGCGTCATAGATTAGTCATTTATTGTAAAAAAAAACATTGGACAGGTATAGCGTTTATCATCTAAATATATAATAAAGAGTTTATTGAAGTTTTTCTTGTAGTTGGTTCAAAATCAGTGGAAATATGAGGAGGAATGTATTTCAAGTAGTATCTATAACTTCAAGTTCACTTTTATGTTAGAAATATAGGCATTCACTGAAATGTGGATTTGTCAGTAATAAGACAACACAAACATGACCAAAGGGTACTAGGACACTAGAAGAGATTTTACTTCTATTTTAAAGTCGATTTTTGTAAACAAAATCACATGGATACAAAAAGGTCAGCAGAGGTGCACAATAAGTACTCATTATGAAAAGACTGTATGATTAAATATTGATCAATAAAAACGAGAAAAAAAAATGCCATGTATACCGTATGATTTGTATTCGTTATTTCCCGAAATATGGCATTTGTATATACAATTTCGATTTTTGTTCTAACAAAAGAACAATTTTCAATTAGGATATGTAGAAGATTTTCAAATTAAGAAGGGAAAACTCTGAATTCAGTATCTATTGCAAGATGTTGTTTCGTTGCGAATAATGCGACTAAATGAGTACCGTACTAGTAAGAACTTGTATTCTGATATCTGATAATGATATTGTATTGAGAATTTCCTAATACAGCAATAATTAATCTCGGATTTTTGTCAAGTCAGTAATTAGATTTTAGAAAAAAGTTTCCCCGTTTGGTTTGATATGAATTTTTGAGTAAATCGATTATAAATTAAACATGTTCATAATTTACCACATATGAATAATATTCAAACTAACTAAAAAAAAAGAGGACCAAATAGCTTATTATTCAAAATGTTTTTTTTTAATGTCGAGAACTTTATCCTAGTTTAGTCCCCATGACAGTAATGAACTTCGTTCATCACAAATATGACTATTTTCTTCCAGAATATTGCCAAACATTGAGGAACAATACACTATAATACGGTCACAGAGTATTGACAAGTCGTTTATTTAAAGAGTCATTTGTGTCATTCGGACTATAAATCACCGTATTGGTAGTTCAAAGGTTAAACTTAACATTTTGACTTGAAAAAATCGTACGGTGCAATTTTTGTAAAATGGGCTCTGAAGTACGTGTTTATACTTGAAAGAAAAATCGACTTTGAAAAGTTTTGATGTCTACATTGTAAAAGAACATCCGTGATATGATTTCTGTTATTATATACATTGTTGTTACATCTTATTTTAACGATTTCAAATAAAGTTTAGCAAAATTAATCCGTTATTAAAGAGTTTTTGTAAAAGTTTAACACTACGAATATTTGTGCATTTAATAGAGTACGTTTAAATTCAATTTCATCATTTGTTTTTGCGCAAAATGTAAAATAATCAACATTTATATGATATTTTATACCTTTATTAATCAATAATATCAAATTCGTTTATCTCAGCTCATATGACGGAGCTATTCGGAGCTCATGTACAGCCTCTTATAGGTACATATAAACAATGGGGATATGCTGTATCACTTACATTCAAATACTGGGATATGTTCCTTGAAGCAGTAGACATTTTGCTGTCAAATATAAGAGCAGAACGAGAGGGTATTTGGTCACTTCTCAAATGTTAAAATATTTGTTTGTAACCAACCGTACCAATTACTGAAGGTGGATGCTAGTTAACATACTCGATATGCTTCAACTTTCTGAGAATATTCGATCACCTTTTATAGATGGCGACTTACTATTAGACAGACTCCTGGACATTTTAACGGTATATGGACCGACATGGCAACATAAAGGACCTTTATAAAAGCATAACAAAGCAAAGGTCTGCGCTTGTTAGATGGACCCTTACTAGACATTTCCTAAAAATCCTTTAGTCGTGTAATGCTGGAGAGGGCTGGAATTGCTGCAAATAATACAAATTCACAGGAGAAAACAAAACCAACAGCAATGGAAAGAGATGAAGAACATGTTATTGCCGAAGTGACCATCTAAATGAACCATGACAGATCCCTTTGATGTGGAATCCCATTCTCCATGTCTTATCAATATCTCTGCTGGAATGCATGCTACAAAAGATATTCAAGATTCTTTGCTGACAGCTGTCGAGGAAGGCTTGAACATGTCTAGACATTTCTTCACTAGTGCTCTTTCTTTAACTCAGTCGAGGAGTTTTTATTGTCCAATATCAAAGTCAAAACTAAAAACGTTTGAAAACATGACGACAAAAACAAACCTTAAATGTAAATAGGGGGAAATAATTTCTGGTCACATAAATCCAGAACTTGTATTTATACGTGAATTGATCTTGGCAAACTGTAGAGATGATGTTGCACCATGTAGGTCCCATTCTAGTTTCCCCTTTTCACAATGACGGCACCATGAGAAAATCATGCAAGTCTGATTTGGTGAAGCAGTTAGAATCTGAAGTCTCTTGTGCACTTTCCCTATCTTCCATTGTACCTTCACTCACAACTTACATCAGAGATGGTATGGCATTGGTTCAATGTATTGATGTTTAGAAAAGTAAAACATTCGGTGACCTTGCAGCTGACTATTAAAAATATGTCCCAATGCTTTTCTATAGCGCAGACAGTAGCAGATGTTTTTGACCGCTACGTTATGAACAACTCTATACAGTCTGCTGAAAGGAAACGCCGCACAAAGACTGAAGCTTCCACCAAAGTGTATCAGATTATTAAAGGGAAAAGTATTCCTGACTGGAAGAAGTTTCTTTCTTTTAAAGAAAACAAACAGGCTCTCCTTAATTTCTTTGGTAGTTTTATTCTTCAAAACTTTGACCAATCCCCTGATTCCACCTGATTGTGAGCTTAACTTAGCCGAAACGTTTGTAAATCTAGAAATTATCATGGTTATTTATACTAAGAGTGTTAATGACTGTCGTAACTTGTTTAGCACCCAAGAGGAGAGCGATACTCTTAAGATACTTAATGCCTTAAACTTTGACACGTAGTTTAGAGATATTGGAAAGAGCGGAAGATCAATCATACGGGCCTCTAATACGAATGTGTTTGTTCAGTGTGTTCACTGCTACAAACATATGACACATACAAGCGAGTTGTGTGTGCAGATTGGGAACATTAGCGGTGTAAAGGATGGGCGAAGAATTTAACTCATTCACCAACCATGTGCCTGTCTTTGCCCAACAATTTGTAAAGTATTGCCGGCTGTACATGCACTTACCGGATGCGACACAACTTCCTCTCTGTTTGGAGTAGTTAAACAAACTGTCGACAAGACTGTGAAGGACACGCATGACTATTTCAGTGGTATGCAGAGCTTCGGTAATACTGACAAAGATGAAGCCCTTGTTTGGGCATAAAAGTTAATTTCAAAGCTTTATGATCAGAAAATTATCTTTCAATCATTCCATCATGATATTTATACAATACTCAAGCTTGCCACCAGTAAAGATGTAAGTTTAATCAGGTTACCTACCTGTGAAGCGGCAATGAAACAGCATGTTTGCCGTGCTTCGTTTCAAACTAAAATTTGGACCGCAGTACACATTGCTAAACCTCCTATTCCGTCACCTTTAGAATCCGGTTGCGAGAGTTAAATGATTCATTACACCCCGTGTATTTTAAAGGGCATATGTCAGAAGAATTCTTGCAGGATCTTGAATTTTCATGTAAGGGGAAATCTCCATGTAAAAAGTCATGTGTTAGTTCACAACAAAACCTTACATGTTCGGAGCTTTGCTCCTGTAAAGGGTAAGAATTATGTAGAAATTTCCAATCATGTTCCTTGACAGATAAACCAGAAGATACTCCTGGCTTAATTATGTTATGTGGATCTCCTTGATTGAATTTTGTAATTGTAACTGTTTCGAGGTATTGAGTGGTGTAAAGTTTTAATGAATTACATGAATGAGCTTTTGCAAAATACGCCTTCATGATAGTAGGATTCAGGTAAAAATAATATTTATCACTTATTGCCGAGGTTGAATGTCAGCCGGCAAGATAACTACTGTAACTTTAACAGAGTATGTGTTGATCTTGTATAAAAGAACAAGTGTTTGAAAAACGCCTATTTTCAGAATAAATCGATTTCCTAATTCCTTTTTTTTTTATTTTGGAGATAATTCATTGCTAATTGATTTGAAAAAAAATGACGGTCTCTGAAACTTAACCTTAATTGTTGTATATCTCTTCAAATTTTGAAAATATGGAAGGAAGAAATAATAACAGAATTTGATCTTTGACCTTATTTTATGCACAACTGTCACCAAATTTCTTTTTGACGACATCGATATATCAAAAGTACTCATGTTACCGAATTCAATAATATATAATACAGCCATATAGTATGTTTGACGATGAAATCTAAAAAATATTGTGTCTGGTCACCGTACTACTAAGATGGACAATGTTTGTATTAGGACGACGAACAAAAAATGTTTCGGCAGGTTTCGTCATTTATCCTTGAGGATCACGATATCAAATACTATTTTGTTCTTGACAATTTTAAATGGAATACAATGTTGTCATATTAAGTTGCAGTTGCATTTCTTTTTTAAATAGTCTGGTATAATTTTCTATGCAGACGACTTAAATTCGCCCACTAACAGGTGGCAAACTTTGCAGCTGTTCTGAAATTGGAGTATTTATTGTAAACAAAAGAGTATCATCAAAAAACACAAACCAATCAAAAGTTCAAATGTTTATGCATATATTAAAAAGACAACAACAAAACAAAATATCAAGTCAGTACCAGTATCGCAATTTTGAAGATGTGTTGTTTACAATTATAAAACCGTATTTACTCTGCTATCATAGATTCACAGAAATTAATATATGGCTTGTTATTTTCTGATATTGTAGATCAGGAAATGGGGAAACATCGCTAAAACCACCAGACTAGAAATCAATCCAGAATAACTGTTTTCCAATTTGAAGTCAAACCAATGGAGAAACACAATTTAAACAGTAAAGCACAGAAAGACAAATTCAAGTAATGTATATATATTTACTATTGTGAGTAAAATACAGTACCATATACAAGGCTCTTAACTGACATGTAACTATAAAACAATTCCTACGAGAAAAACTAACGGCCTAAGATATCTACAAAAAAAGAACGAAAAACAAATATGTAACACTGCAACAAGCAAAAACCACTGAATTACAGTCTCATGACTTTTGAAAGGCACATACACTATGTGGCGCGATGAAACATGTTAGTAATTGTCTAATCATCCTCCAAACCTCCACAAACTAGTCTATTTTAAGGAACATTCATTTGGCATGACTCGGTACTTACTCATCCAGTGTATGATTTTTTGTTTTACTTTGTTGACATACATGTTTCTTTATAGTGTTTATAATTATAACACAATGTTGACCGCTGCATCACTATGTCTGACATTTTAGTTTAAACATATATATTTATAGTTGATTGGAAAGCAAGTTATAACAACTTATATTAATCTCTCTCCACTTTGTGGGTGCGAGTGCTGCCTTGAAGCGGCATTAGCCTGCTCTTTTTTGAAATCTACAAGGGTGTCTTTGACGTGCAAGCGATATTGCTCTCCCTTAACACGGGTCAGCCATTTATCGTCTGACATTTTAACCTTATGTCTGATTATTTTGTTCACACAACGTAATCCATACAACGGAATTGTATGCAACTGTCATACAACTGAGATGTTAAACAAGTTATTAAACCAGGTTTAACCGACCATTGTCTACATAAGAAACTGTCTGTACCAAGTCAAGAATAAGACAGTTGTTATCCATTCATGTAGTGTGTTAGAGCTTTTGATTGTGCTATTTGCCTTAGGACTTTCCGTGTAAAATTTTCCTCGGAGATTGGTGTTTTTTCTGTTATACTTTTTTCAATTAAATTGTTATAAATGAATGTGTAAAAACATATCTTGGATCCTTTTCTACTTTTAAAAAGTATTCATAATTAAACCGGTATGAATGGACAACATAAGGTATATGAATATATATTTTAAACAAGTATGTAAACATCCTAAACGAACAGATAGAATTTGTCGAATCCATGATTTTAAAAAGTCATATTATTAAGAGATCAATTCAGTAGTGAAAACATTGCTTTTATTTCATATCGAAAATCATCGTGGAATGTGGATATGGATTAATGAGCGTAACGTGTTTTAATTTTCACCTCGAAATAATGATCAATTCCGGCTGAAGGTCATTTTCTAACTCCTACAATAGTTTCCCTATATGTTTTAAGAAATAACCTCTCTTACGCGGTACATATTTTCCTTCAACTAGACTAAAAAACAACTTGCAAATATATCTAAGTTAAATGCAGAAACTTATTTGATTATCATGATATCTTTATAGTTAGGTGTAGACAAAGCATGACATAAACAAAACATATGTTAAAGCTGCGTGCACATATATCGTTTAAACATTTTATAAACTAAAATTCAAATGATTTCTTACAAACAACATTTGTTTTTATCATTTTTGTTGTCATAACGAAATTGCAAGTTCCGACTATCTGTTCGAATGACACTGCACAACTGTGTCTGTTCTCAGGAATGTTGAAGGGCGTTTATACAGATTTCGCACCGTTACCTGTTCGTGCTGTATCAAAGTATCCTCGCGTTGAGGTTTTGTGTTAAAGTTGTAAAGAAAATATGAATAAACAATAATGTCTTGCTTTAGTTTCTATTTTGCCGTTTACATGTACATATAATTTAAAACCATAATCTTGAAAAGCTTTTTCAATCGAATTCTCATAAAATGTCAATTTTGATTATAACAATTTCGTTTACATAACTAGATAACATAGCTCTTATTTTCAAAATGGCTTCTTCATATGTTGCAAAAGATTTGAAAGATAAAGAATCTTTTGAAAATACATTTTTAGAAATTATTGGAAACTAGCATTCTACAAAGCTGTAAGTTGAAATACGTTTTATATGAGATATACCTTCAATGCGGCATATTACACATGAACAATGATTCAAAACTTTATATTAAAAAACATACGTGTTTCTTTATTTTTTTTTCTCACGCATACCAATCATCAAGATAGACAAAGAAGAACGTAATCTAGTACAGTAACATGCCTACATCATATACTTTATAAGTTCTTTCATAACCACGACTCTTTTGGGGAGATATATACTATTCATATATACATTATTTTATTTACGTACTGGTTCCCATACATGACCTCTTTGTTTTATATCATTGAGACATATCTTGGAAAGGTTATTAGTATACATAAACAAAAATATAGCGGCAGCATTGAATTCCGAGGGCGACCAAACGTAAAGGTAGGGGTAGTACATAATTTAAGTACAAGTTTAAACTCGTAGAAGTTCGGGGCATGTAAATAATGAAAATATGCCACACAGCCCTCTATTATGACCTTTGAAAAAAAATAGAAATGTATGAGCTTTCCATTCTAGAATACATGTTGTCGAAACTTCATGATAAAAGTGGTACAGTTTTAGCCGTAAAAGGAGTTCCTATGGAAAATGCATTCTCTTTTTTTTTTTACAGAAAAGCAACCTATAAAACTCCTGGAATGTATCTATGTTCGTGTGTCTACAAAAATCATTCATTCATTACAGTCCGTCGTTTTATTTAAAGCATATTGAATCAATGCATTGAAAGCAAGTACTTGTGTCCAGAGTGAAAATTAGCAAAAATTATATCAATAAAATTTAATACGTTCAACTATTAAGTACTTATTTTTAATGCAGAATTAGAAAATTTCCTGGAAGAGGTGAACGTATTTGTTGATTTAATCAATTGGTATGAGTTTGAAAGCCTTTACTGCTTGAGTCATTATTAGTATCAATTGATAAATACATTTAGAATGTATATTTAAAAAGTTTCATTAAAAACTCGGATAATGTTTGTATCATTTCAAAATTGTTTTTCTCACACTTACTATTAAGAGCATCGTACATTATTCCTTAGTTTTTCTTGTGATTTCTCATATATCATGACAAGAATGATATGATAAACATGGAATATATCGTATATCACAATATATTCCAGTAAGGACACGCAGTGACCAGCCTCCCAAATTATGACATAAGAAAAATGATACCGACTTATTTCATTTTTTATGTATCAAATGACCTCAATAACTGGCAAATGATAAAACTGATTGTCTTATGTGTTTTTTGAAAGAAACATGTGCGCAGTCCTTTATTTTGATTTAATACTTTCTCTTATTTGTCTTCAATGTTCCTTTCGTTGTTAAACCGAAAAAAATCTTTTCTTTCGAATCACATGGGACATGGCATGAATTATTTTTTATTACAGTTATAACTTTGTTATATGTCCTCATATTTTATCTTTAATATTTTCTCTTCTTGTGCATAGATGTAAAATTATCTCTATATATGGTTATGAATGGTTTTCTTTGTGTGTGTTAAACTCAAAATGAAACAAATTAACACTTTTTTCTCTGATTCTCTTTTATTTCAATTTCAGTTTGTAAAAAACTGTGATTACAGCTTTTTTGCCAAATCAGCTTAAATCCGAAAAAAATAGAATACAAAAAAATGTTAACAGTTTGTAGCAACTTTCAATGCATTGGTACTTATGTTATAAAACAAAAGGTCAACTTCAATTGAATGTTTTATTCCTATATCAAAATAGAATTACAATAAACTTGAATAAAAAGTAAAATCACAAAAATACTGAAACGGAAAGTCCCGAATCAAAATGCAAAATCAAAAGCTCAAACACATTAAACGAATAAATAACAACTATCGTATTCCTGACTTGGAACACGTATTTCTTAAAGTAGACAATGGTGGAATAATCCTTGTTGTATAGCTAGCTAAACCTGCCACCTGTTTTGCAGTCGCATGAAATGCCATTATAGCGACAACGATGTGTGAACAAAACAAACAGACATTATATTTAAAAATGTAAAAATAGCGGGGGTACAGCAGCCAATATTGTGTTATAATCTTAATCACAATGAAAAAAACAAATATATTACAAAGAAGCACAAAAAGGCATACAGACAAAGCGCATTATCAAAAAATAAAAGACAAGAAAACGAAAACATACCATAGCACAATAACACAAACTTTAAGACGGAATGTATAAGTACGGACCTACTAAATGTAACCAAAAAAAAGAAAAAAAAAGGCATATACATGTAAACAAAGCACATCAGCAACATTTAAAGACACGAATACAAAATTTTTACAATAAAACAATAACACAATGACAGGATGTATAAGTAAAGGGCCACGTCAAATGGAAATCATCAAACACAGACTAAACAGTTAAAGTTATATTCATAAAGACAAAAACAAGATAATACTTTACCATAAAAATAAAGATGAGAAAAAACGTAAATACCAATAATATATACTTCAAGACCATTGTGTATTATTGATATTTATCAACAAGGTCTTGGTGCCGTCCGATTTTTTTTTTAGATAAAGTACGACACGTTATTTGACCTACCCCTGGTTCACCATCTTTCTGCTCAGACACGTATGAAGATTTGCAAAGTCTGAGTTGGAGCTGCAAGCTTTTGATTACCGAAAAAAATAGGAAATGAATATCCCATATGCAGTGTATTGCTATAAAGGTGGGGGAAATTGATAATTTCAAGATCAAAATCGTCATTATTGTCGTAGATGTCTAATTTGATGTATAAGTAAAAAAATGAGGCACAGAAAGCCGTGTGTATTGTTTCTTTTATACCTAAATATCTTGGGGATATATGAATAAACCCCAATTAGAAAAGTTTGAGTTGCTATTGGAAAGAACATCATCAATTTTCTTGAATGTCAATAAGTCAAGTGTTTACCTCCAACATAAATTTAAGAAATTTAAACTTAGGACAAATAGTCTTTCAGTTTCGTATAATATAACACAAATGTTTACTAATCATTCCCAATCTTCTTTATGGAGTGCCATTGAATGAGTCGTTGACAATTTGTGATAAATCAAAGTCAATGCTTCAACGGGCTATATAGTAATGTATCATTTTTAGAAAACAATGTCTTTTGATGGGAACAAAAATAAACAATTAACAGAATTTGTTATTTGCGCAGACTCTTCATCGGAAATATGTGACATTCTTAATTATGTTTGAAATCATGAATTGAATAATTTCTGCATTTCAAAATAAAAACAAAATGATTTATAATGGCATATATTTGGATAATGGATTCATGATTAATGATTGAACATGTAATACAATTACAGATTATGTTAGTCTACCAATTAATTATAACCCCTTTTTATACGTTTACCTAAGAATTCTTCAAAAAGAAAAACAAAGTTCGTTCTTAGTAGTTGATGTAATTTCAGGTCAAATATTTACAACATAAGCTTTCTTGACCTTAAAATACAAGTTTCAAAGACACAAATTTTATTCTATATTTTCATTAAAAAAGCCGTCAATCACAGTATTGCAAGGGTTTACTAAAGGTGAAAAATACTACAAATAAGAAACACAAAGTGAGTTAGTAGACAGGGTTGTGATACTGTCGCAATATATGATAATTTATATTACTAATTCTTTATTAATTAACTGAACTGTAATATCAGTAAAACACATCGAAAAAAAAAACACACTGGTTCCGTTATTTAAATAAAATATAACTTAGATATTCGTAAACCTTATCATAAATAAAGGCATACTGGCATTAATTGCAGTTTTGCAAAATATGTATACACCCATTCAACATTTTCAATGTTTTAACAAAAGTTGCATTTAGTAAACATGAAAGTGTTGTAAACATGATCACAGGTAAAGACTCTAATACAGAATCGTCAGTTGGACCCTTTATGTTGGAAGTTATGTTATAATCTATAGATCTAAGCATTTAAATATAATTGTTTCAGTTTTTACTCGAATAATTTTCATATTTGATTATATTAAATGATTATCCCAAGCTTAAACTGCCGCAACACTAAAATTGTGTCGTGTCCGATCAAGCAGTATGTGTTGCATGGTTGTCTTATCATAATACAATTTAAAATTCAAAATTCATAAAAAGTTAACAATTATTGTAGTTACTATGCATGTCCTTTCAATAGTATCTCATTATTAAACGAATGTATCTCAATATTTTTTATGGTTGCAGATCTATACGGCCTACTACCGATCATTCAATTTATCTTCAGAGGAAATCTAAATACAGGAAAGTGCTGGTGAGAAATGTTTTTATTGTCTTGTTAGCGAGATGATGTGTGTGTATGTCATCACTAAGTCAGGGATTAGACAAACATGATTTTTCAACATATATGTGCAAACAAAAAATAGAAACATCAAACATCCATGTAAAGGTACTTTAAGTAAGAGCTCGTGTTGATTGGTCGTTCATTTTTGTTGACTTGTTTGTCTTTTGGTTGTTCTCGACTATCCCTTTGAAAGCTTCCGCCTATGTTTTCTATCCATATAAGGTAATTTTGCATTGAGCGCTTTAAATGTCATAATGTCAAAACAACAAACACAAATGAATTAAAAACAAGTAGTAAAAGACGAACATGTTAGTGTATAGCTTTATTACACATATAAATTTACATCTCAAAAGATCTTATGCACTGCAACATAACATATATGTATGCAACAGTACATGTAATATGCATGTTCTCACTCTGTCAATAATTCAGGTTTAAAAACTGGAGATTATTTGATCGATTATTAGTATTAAAAATCCGAAAAAAAACAACACTGTGATAAGATCTTACTTGTTACAAATGAAATCATATTGAACCTGAATCTTTTTGCAATCTGGTCGATGAGTATAATTCAATTGTTTGTGCTTTTACATTATGGATAAAACATATGCTTTTTTAAGTTTGTATCTCAACCCAGATTGAATGGCTAACGTTTGACATGGGATGAAATGCTACGTCATTTAGTGAAAATAGCCCTTATATTAATACACGTTACGAAATTGGAATAACATAATAAAGATTTGCCTCATACTGGTATAAATAACTTTTTTTCATTTTAAACAAATGAAAACTAATGTTTGCAATGTTTTGCTTAAATTAACAAATTGATAGCGCTACCTTGATTTAAGAAAACCACGACAACTGAAGTTGACTGTTGGAAGCCTTATATTTTCCTTATCTTTTTAAATAACTCCGAACAAGGATAATGATTTATTTACACCATTATAGTTTTGAAATAATAATAATGAGTAAAATCACAAAAATACTGAACTCCGAAGAAATTCATTCGGAAAGTCCATAATCACATGGCAAAATCAAATGACAAAACACATAAAAAATGAATGGACAACAACTGTCATATTCCTGACTTGGTACAGGCATTTTCAAATGTAGAAAATGGTTGATTGAACCTGGTTTTATAGCGAATAACTTATTGTTATTACAGTATACACAAATTTATGACACTGTAGACCAGGCAGATCTACTACGACGAGAACTACCGAGACGATGGCTTGTACCTACACCGGAGGCAGTAATAGCGATCACAGGAATACATCATCAGTTCAACATAAAAGACAAGCGCAATTTGAAACAAATGTTGATCGAGGCTGTCATAAGCACTGGTAAAATATAAAAAAAAAAACGTATTAAATATTCTTTGTTTTCTTTTTTCCAATAAATAACCCGTGCACGTGTACGATATACATTTTTGTCTGTTATTGTGGCTTTAGGAAATAAGGTAACCTACTCTCCACGAATGCAAAACGAGTAATAACACCAGTTGCAATTATAATCTTTCTAATACGAATATTTAAAATGAAGACACGTATTCAAATTTATGGTATTCAAGAGGATTGCTATTTTTATCTTTTCGTTTTTATTTTCTTTAATGACGAGAATGTACCTCTCCGTAATCTTCCATTGATGAAGACAAGTACTTTTGTTCAGTTTTATAAATAAGCGTTAGTTTTTCTTACATGTTAGGATTAAAGAACTTAACAATACAATCAATAATTATATCGACATTTATAGCTAGGAAAGTAGTCTTACGCACTCGATGTGCCCAGCTTATGAGTAAGGGCTTTGCGTGAAAATTAAATGTCCATAATATTCTGATGACATGTGTTCAATTATCAAAAAACACCAAAGGACGACTTCATATCAGAACCTTTGAAAGAAGTGACGGTGGCAAGTTGGCCATTTTTAATTTCTCATTTCTCGGTACTACGTTTTCACGTTTCCTGTATAATATACCATATTACAGCTTTTCTCAAAACAGCGCAAATGTTTTCGACTAACGTACTTCAGGAACAGTGATGTGCTTAAAAACAATTGATTAATTGAATGTAAGTTTAAACGTCACTTTCAGCAATGTTAGTTTTTTCGCGGTGGTAAGTTTTTGTTGATGGAATGACCGAAAAAAAAAACCAACAACCTTCAGATAGAAAACTGATAAACCTATCTAGTTCACGACATCAATTTTGATAGACTAGTCATAAACTGGTTCAACACCAAACGACCACCGAGTGCTCACCAAATATTCGGCCGCAGATATCTTCATCATAAAATAATTGATGGAATATGACGTGGCTGAAAGGCAACAGGTTTTTGGATCTAAGATCTCTAGACATTATTTTTTGTTATAGCCTATCGTATATTTAGTACTAAATTTTCATTCAGATCGCAGATGAGTTATGTACAGAAGTAAACGTGTACCCTATTGACTTACTCGTTATCTCTATTAAGAGGAAATGTGATCTTTAATCTCTTTATTGTGTTCTCTGATTTGACAAGCATATATGAGTACTGAGAATTAGTAGACTACTTTTGCAAATATAACACATTTCAGCTATACATGAATATTGTCAAGACTGGTATGTCATGTAAGTCATGTGTGTTGTAGGATCTTGGATTGTTACTTGCGGTACAGAATCAGGAGTAGTCAACTTCATCGAGGAAGCGGTAAACGAACATTCAACTTTAGAAAGATACAACATTCCAATAGTTGGACTTATGTCAGAGAGAGTAATAAATGAGGTGATAAACTTTTAATGTAATGTTGTGAAATTGGTTAAAGTTCCAATAAAAAGTAAAATCATAAAAATACTGAACTTCGAGGAAAATTCGAAAAGGAAAGCCCCTAATCAAATGGCAAAATAAAAACTCAAACACATCAACAACTGTCGTATTCTTCACTTTGTACAGGCATATTCTTATGTAGAAAATGATGGATTGAACCTGATTTTAAAGCTTGCTAAACCTCTCACTTGTATGACAGTCGCATACAATTCAATTATATAGACAACGAAAGGGGAACAAAACAAACAGATACTTTAGGAAAAAATGTCAAAATAGGGATACAACAGTCAACATTGTGTTATCATCTCAATCACTATAAAACAAATGTAACAAGGAAGCACACAAAGGCATACATGAAATAAAACTCATAACGTTCATGCATGAAGCATGCAGGATAAAAATACATTTGTGTGTTCGCTTATTTCTTTATCAAAATGAAAGTACAAATATAAGTAAGTAAAGACTATTTCATTTTATACTTACATTCAATTCATTTCAATCCAAAAATTACTTCGATCGTCCATATCTTACGTGCACCTGCATAGTACTAGTAAAACAATTTCATGTTCGATCGGTAATTAAATTAAATGTTCAGACTTATCCACTGTGGTAAATTAGATATTTCCAGTCAATCATCTTGCAGTCAATTGAGAACTGTTCAGTAACTTCAATATGGTGTTGATGTGTGCAAAAACGACTGAACAGATATTAGATGACTAAATCCGAATTGCGTGAACAGTACTAAATCTAACACGGTGGATAAATCTAAATGTAATCAGAAAAAAATACAGCAAATTACGTAGTGAATTATTGTCAAGCCGTTTATTCGTTATTTAGAGAGAAGAATCTGTTTCAGATTATAGTTAACATGGGTAAATAATAAGTATTTATTTTTAAATACCCGGTTAAGATGTCATTGTTTTAGATAACGTCACTCCGATGTCAAATGAATATAACATGTTTTTTCTGTGATAATAAAGATTTCCGTTCCTACAGTCATGCTCCGGTTCAAACTAATCGGACATTTTCTTGGAAGAACATGACGATTGATTTGGATACAATTGCAATGAACTTAAATGTCTAAACGGATAAGGCCCATAACGCAAGGGAATAATTGTATAAACATGTTATGGATAACTATATGGCAATATCAGCTTAAATCAACATGTTGTTATTTACTAACACATAGTTACAGTGAATATTTATTTTTATTTTTTCTTGCTTAAAATCATAGAATATAGCAAAAGACTATTATTAAATGATTACTTTTTGGATAGATTAAACCTCTCAGGGGACATGTAAAGGTTGAAAAGATCATTGATGGAGAAGTTAAAAGTGTAAAAACTCCTGTTAGGTCAACAAAGCAGACATTAGATCCAACCCATACACAGTTTATTGTCGTGAAAGATTCCATTAACACAATCACCAACCGTAATGCTTCATATGAATGTAGAAAGGCTTTCGAAAGTTTCTTATATAATATTAAAGATACAGGTACGAATTTGATAGTATTAAGAGCCAAACAAACATGAATATTGATTCAGTTATTAACACTTATTATCGAAAAATTGGTCAGATTAAAACAATTGAAATCGAACAATTATTCAGACTTTTAATTAGCACCACATGGATTTATGGTGAAGTAAGCACATGACTATACATTTACTCACTGCTATTCAAATATCATTACCAAAGTACTGAAATTGAAAGTAATTTAAAAAAATAACAAGGATAACAGTCAGAACTATAAAGAAAAACTTATATACTCTTATAACCATAAATGTACGTTGCATAATGTAAAATTAAGAAAAAAATATCAATGGTGGTATGATTAATATGAAACAGTGAAACTAAAGATAATTCCAAAGTAAGACACAAAACTCAATTGGGAAATTTCAGTCGTTTTTCTATACGACCCGCTGAATATCGTATTTTCTCTAGTATTGACCTTATATAATATAATAGAAAACGTCTAAAAGAGAACAATAAAAAATGTATTTTTCCATCGGAAATGATTTACCTTATGTTAGAGCAAAACAACAGGAGAAGGACAAGAGATAGTACATCAAAAATCTTCACATCTTTCAGATTCTAATTTACAGTTGTCAACCGTCATTAAGGAAAAATAAACAAATTCGATGTTAGTTTTGAGGGTATTTGGCAGTAATTTGGCTATGTCATAGATTTTGTTATAATTTTGCATTAAACTGGGGATTGTTGCATTTCATCTGAAAGGGGCAAAATAATGAAATTATTTATTTAAAATTCAAATATGACGTGCTTCTTTGGCTTTGAAAACCACACCATGATACAATTTTCTAGATATATCTATACTTAGCGCAGACTCCGAGATGTTCATAACAATGGTTATTATATTATACCTCCAACATTAATCCACATGTATCGTAACCTATGTGCAAACGCTATATGTCGATGTCGCTGTGTTAAAAATTACAGTAAATAAACACGTAAGAACCTTTATTATGATTCTATGGCATAGTAAACAGTTTTAATGCATTAGAGATTGGAAAATGTACAAAATCAAAATGAATTAAGATTTTTGCGAAACTCCATTAATGTTTTTTGGCGCATGAACGTCATTTCAAAACATGACGTCATACGAATGAAAACGACAAAGCTGAAGGTTTTTCAATTTACCTTCTAAACTTGAATAATATTGCACTAAAATAAAATTTTGAGGTAGGTGTTACTTTTTTGTCTATTCTATTGCATTATACACATGTTTACTGATTTCAGCAAGTCAACACAGCGGCTTCATCGTTACAAAATGTCAACAGTGAATTTGACGGTAGCTTACGAGAACAAAATGTAAATTAAAACTGGCAAATGTTGAGTTTGAGAATTAAAAGAATCAGTCACATTTTTTGCAAGCGGTTATTTAAGAAATAATTCATGCACGCTACATATTTATTAGATTTTTTGTACATTTATGTAACAGTGGGTAAAATAGAACAGCCACAAACACGGCATACCCACTCTAGAATCGAAATAATTCATGGAAGCTATATATTTGTTGTATATTCACACATAGCCTGGAACGTGGTATTCGTTATTTCTATCCCTCACTCTTGCTCAGGATAAAATTCGAATAACACGGCCCAGACCATGTGTAAATTTCCAACAAATTTATGGCTTTCATGAATTAGGTTTTAAACTTATATATCGCTTAATGTATGTCTTTCAAAAATATGGTATTTGTATAGAAACTATATAAAATTTAGAAAACAATCATTCATTTGTCTTAAAATTATTAAAACTCCAATCAAAACTTTACATCAGTCGTCAACCCAGAAAGATAGGGTCGGCCATTTTACAATTGAGACAATCAGGATTGCGGATACATCAATCAAAACATTGTTTTTGTCAGATTTGGTACACATATTTCCAAGGAGTAAATTTTTTTAATAAAAACTGTTAATTATGTGCATGAGATACCATCAACAAATACCAATTGAAAGCATTTCCTGAGACATAACATAAACGTCATGAAAATACAGTTAATTTTTTTTAAAAGACTAAAAACAAATAAGTAAAGGCTGCGTAGGCATCAAAAACATTATACCTGTTATAAGGAAGGCTGCATGCATATCAAATCAAATTTAGGGGTTCCATATGTGTCTATTAATTATGGATGACTAATATGAGGCAAAACAATCACATTCGATGTAGTACAAATGTTAACAATACTTTCATTGATTAAGCAACAACTTTTCATAAATAAAATGAAAAGAAAACAAGAAAATAATTGCCATTGGTGTTTCTGTTATTTTAATGTAGATTGCAAACATGTTCAGTATGAAACAAATGAAATATTGCCTGTTGTCTTGGTACTACTTGAAGGAGGTATTGATGCAATGAAAACAACTTGGAGTGTACTGGCAAATAACAACCCTGTTGTAGTAATTGATGGTTCTGGAGGAGCAGCAGATTTCCTCTCAATTTGTCATCAGCGACACAATAGGTTTTCATTCTCTGTTTTACATGTGTGGTTTTCTAAATCGTGTTTCCAATTTCTAGTTTTGATAATTTATTCAGTTGTTTTTTTAACCAATTATATCTTCGTGTTGATATCTTTTATCATACACCAAATTATATGCCTTGTAGGCAGTAGTTCTTTCTTACAAAACCATACAAGATAAGACTAAAATCAATTTTGTTAAATCATGATAGCAGGATACTGCGTCATATATTTTTTCTTTTGAATCATTAAAATACTATTAAAATAAAGTTTTTCTGGCAAATATTTGTTTTCGATGATCTTGGCGCAAAAAAAAAATGGTTTATGTTTTTCTTAACGTCTTGCTTGTCTTATTTTAGGCTACCTTTGACATTGCAATCGTTTGAAATGATACTTTCTGATATTGGTTAACAGAAACACAAATATTCAAATATTCATGTCACGTGAGAGGGGACATGTAGGGTTTTGATACTAATGTGTTGCTTATCATGCATTTAAATACTAAAACTATTCCATTTTACACATGCAATAATTTCAAAGACATCAGTTGATAATTATCCGAAAACAAAAAGTGTCGAATTAAGAGCAGATAAGATTGAATCTAAATTAATGATGGATTTCAAATCAAAATATAATTACATGCATGCATGAATCTTTATTGGTAAAGCATAGACATGCAATGGCAAAATAAACAACATATATTACATAACACCTCTGGAATGATTGCATTATATGAAATGTGGAAAACATATGTATGAAATATTCTAGACGTTTTACTCATTTACGAATATGATAAAAACATGAGTTCATTTAAAGTCTTATTTGGTCGGGAGTTGATTATTTTCGATATGTGCATTCTTCAGTTATCTTTTCTTTCTATCATGCACTTTTTAATACATCATATCTATTGATAACAATCAGCATTCGAATACTTAACTCTCATTGTTACGAGAGCCTGAAGATGCCAATATAAGTTCAAGAGACTAAATATTTTTTTTGTGTGTTTTAATCATGAATATTTGACAATACAAACAGTACCTATGGCAGATACAGTTTTTATTTTGGAACCTGGAAATGAAACAAATTAAAAAATCCAAAGTGTGAGAATTTTCTGTCATTTAACGTTTAACATTTTGATTTGATGTCTAGTTTAAATAGGAAGAGCGACAGTGAACAAGTAAACCTGTCAGAATACGTTGAAAATTTACACGAATTAATTAGGAAATGCTTTGAAGATAAATCCGATGAGATGAAGACCAAGGCAACCAAGCTGGCAACTAGATGTCTGAGGAAACATGAATTGGTATGAATATATTCGTAGATAAATAGTGGAGAATGTACGGTTGCGACCTTCTTTAGATTACATCCAAACGCATTTTGTAGACAGAGATATGCACACAAGTGGTTCCATAGTCACTTCCCGTTATAAAAGTTCCTATAATGTAGCGTATTGTGTAATACTGGTCAAATACTAGCTTTCGGCTTGCTAATTATAAAAAGTATTCGACTGTGGCACGTAGTTTTATTTAACTGTACACTGTTGCAAACATATTTGGTGTTTATGACTATTAACCTGGAAATAGGGGGTTGTTAAGTTGCTATTCCCGGTAATATACTCGGTTTATATGAGCTTATACGATTTTAAAAGTAATCTATTTCCCGAACTTTTGAGTAAAATAAAACATCTATTCCCCCTGCATTTTTTTAGTGCTATTATTTGGCATATTTAACATCAACCACTACATGTAAATACACCTTTAACATAGACACCATTTAACCGACCATTGTAAGTAAAAGAGTAATCTCCTAAAATACTGCCTTCCTTGATTCTTTAAGTAGGTAAATTGTTAAATACAACATCTTCAAGCTGGTTTAAGAAAGCCATTTGATCTTTAGCAAATGGTTTAGAGTAACCTTGCAAAAAGCCAAACAGGTGAGAAACGTGTATAATATCTGAAATGAAATGAGTGCACGTGTTGAGTTTTTTCCTTCTTTCCACTTGTCCGCAGATTTAGTTCTGATTATATATTTTTCATTTCGCTGATTCCGTTTCTAAATGTTACTTTTTTTTTCGCAACATGACGATAACATATTTGGTGTTTGATATTCAACAGTTATTGTGTTTCGAAAACTCATCCTATGTAACCGAAAACTTATCCATATGGAATGATCCCTCCAAAAGCGCAAAAGACATCGCGTAAAGTCTTTTCCCAAAAATATTTCATATCCTTAATATGTCTGTTGAATTTGTTTTCTGTTGAAAGACCTTTTGTTTTTGTTCTGATTATTAGGTCTTCCCACTTTTCCCTGGAAAGACCTTTTGCTTTTGTTTTGATTATCTTTTTTTTTTCTTCCGCCTTATTTTTTTCATGCGTTGTATTGTTATTTCAAAAGATGTCGCATATATATTTTGCTGACACCGCTTAACCGAATAGTTATCAAAGGTATCAGGATCATAATTTTATACGCCAGACGCGCGTTTCGTCATTATAAGACTCACCAGTGACGCTCAGATCAAAATAGTTTAAAAGCCAAACAAGTACAAAGTTGAAGAGCATTGAGGACCAAAAATTCCAAAAAGTTGTGCCAAATACGGCTAAAGGTAATCCATGCCTGGGATAAGGAAATCCTTAGTTTTTCGAATAATTCATAGTTTTGTAAACAGGAAATTTATACAAATGACCACATAATTGATATTCAGGTCAACACCGAAGTGCTGACTACTGGGCTGGTGATACCCTCGGACACGAAACGTCCACCAGCAGTGGCATCGACCCAGTGGTGTACATAGTTATCAAAGGTACCAGGATTTGAGTTAATACGCCAGAACACATTCTCATGCAAGAGTCAGGTTCCAGAACACTGTTTTTCTTGTGCGTACTACTCCTTCGCAACCGTAAAAGATTACGATAAATTTATTTTACAAAATTACTCGTTAGATCCTCAGGTTGTCAAGAATCATCTGGATCGAAGGGATCTGAACATTCTATATGAGAGGTCAAGGTCATAGGTACATTTGACGTTCTAGATTTTGACCTTTGCTTTAGATTCATATTGATACGTCATAAAGGCAAAGGACTTTATGCATTAGATTAAAAGCCATGTGACCTTGAAAAAAGAAACCGGAAGTGACTTGTTGTTTTGCCAGCAAAGTATTTCGCTTTCCTTTTTTTCAAACAGATAGATTTTACATCAAAATAAACTTATATTTAAAGATATAGTAGATTTTTTGATTAGCGACAACAAGGCTTCGAAAACAGTGTTTTTTTTTCATACCGTCAGAACTTTGAAAAATTAAGAAATTCATACTTTATGAATCATTGGTGGTAAAATGTGAAAGGTATGACTCTACAATCTAGTTTATCTATGTTGTGCATTGTGTACTGTTGTTTGTCTTTTTCTTTTTTAGCCATGGCGTTGTCAGTTTTTTTTCGACTTTGAATTTGGTACTTTTTGCCACTCTTTTGCAATTGTTTCCACAAATCCGTTGTCGTTTCCTCGAATTTGATCTATCGGATTAGATGTATCATCAAAACTATAACTACATAACTAGCAAGACAGTTGTCACAAGTACATGTAGAACAGGATCTAAAAACCCTTTAAAAACACCTGATATCACCCTCAGTTTCTAGTTGTGTACCTGTTATTAAGGCATTTGTCTTATATGTTGTGTTTTGTAGAATTGTCAAATTTACTTTCGACATCGTATTGTCGTTTCGTTTTCAACTTATGATATTGAGTATCACTTTGCAATCATTCAACTGAATCACACACCGGAAGTGACAGAAACATAGTTTCTTTTGATTTAAGATCTTTGGTCCACTAAAGAGGCAATGAAGAAAAAGTTGCATACAAAGTCCTGTTTTTATTCTAGACTTGCACTTGTTGTTGCTACTTTATAACAGTTTTATTCAACTATCATCCTTATATGTCCATTTTATAACAGTTGGATCATCATTGAACGGAATGATCATGTTTTCTCTCATTTGTGCAGTGATAAGATCTTCTACATTTTTATCCAGGAACTCTAGCCCGTCTTTTTTTTAAACTTTGTAGATTCGTGTATATTCACTGGAAGAAAAAACTACCAAATTAGACGATTTGATTCAGAAGGCTATTTTTGACATATATAAAGGTAACCATAGACAAAAAAATTAAGAAAGTGTGTGTGATTTGCAACCAATACTTCCACACCTTGCATTAAAAAACGATTTTCCGTAATCTTCAACAAATATCTAGTGTACTCAGTTCACAATAATACACATTATTATAATGTACTTACCATCAGCTTCGTGTATGATTATAATAATTTGAATATGACTTACAGCCTCCAAATAACCAAACCCTTTGAAGCATTTATAAAAAAAATCATTATTTTGAAAATATAATAACGATTATTCAATCAATTCGATATATGTATATCATTTGTCAATCGATTGAATAATCTTAATTTCGGTATTCGAGAGGAACATCTTAGTTGTAGAATAACAGAAAAAAAATCTAATTGATAAAAGAAAAATGCACTCTACTCAATAATTTGTTATTCATAAAGATATTAATTTTCGAAATGCCCATATGACATTGTAAATGTTATAGTTCAATCATTTTTAACGAGAAGCTGGAAACACACATACACTTTCCTAATTTTCGCTTTTGAAGGATTTTATCTTAAATGTTTACGATTAAGTATATACAAATTTGTACTTTTTCAAGATAGATGTTGAACTTTAATCGTCTAATAGTATTCAAAATGATTCTAAATATATATATGTTAAAAAAACACAAAAAAGCATGCATAAACAATGTTTTCACTTATGGTGATCAGTCGGGCAATTTTTTATTGAGAGTCGAGTAGATTGTTGTTTTTCTATGCTATGTTTAACAGTTATTGCATAATCTCCTGACAGAAATGTTTCTGGAATATTTGCAATCAGTTAAAGTTCGTGCAAACGTTGCTAAATGGATCACAAATACAGAAAAAACTCCTTCCCACCAAGAGAACACAAAAAGAATACGATTGATGAATAAAATAATTTTACAAATATTATTTATTGTTAAGAAATAAAATTAAAAGAGTTTGAAAATCCCTTGTTCATCTAAACTAGTTGTGGAAAAAAGTAAAAGGCTATACGCATTATATTCTTGAGTGCAGATGTAATATATAGTTACATACTGGAACTGTTTATTTAAATACTTTTTATAAAAGAATGAAATGAGCAAAATGTGTTTTATCATATATGTAGTTGTATCAACTGACAGTATTATAAATTTAGTAACATTGGTGTCATTTTATCTTTTGTTAGAATACTTTAATACGGAAGACAGTCGTCAAAAAGAGTGGATAAGCGGAAATACTCCAAAAATCAATGCTGTAATGAAACAACTTAAACTTGTTGCAAAATGGAAAAATTATGATATTGCGAAGAAAGAAATCTTTATAGCCGAAAACAGAAACCAACTTACCTGTTTACAAGTAAAATCTACTGTTTTAACAATATGTCATAGTATTATTTTATTATTTTGTATCAATTGTGTTTTAATTCATAGTAGTTTTTAACAATATTTTCACGTTTGAAAAAGTGTTTCCTACTACGAAGAGGTTAACAAGAAAATATTTAATAGCCATTACTTTATATTTGGGTAACAGTTAATTTAACCAATAGTAAGATTGAAACTAATAATTTCTTATTTTTGCATTTATTGTAATTGTTCTGCAATACATTTCTAACAAAATCAGAATGTATTATTCTGTTTGTTTATTTATTTGTGTTATTCTTTTCTACTGCGTTATGTGGTTTTTCATACTAATGCTGATATAATTAGGTCTTTCCACTTTTCTGTGGAAAGACCTATTGTATTTGTTCTCATTATTATTATTATTTTTTTTTTTTTCTTCCGCCTAAATTTGTTCTCGCGTAATTTTTGTTTATCGCAAGATGTCGCTTAGATATTTCTTATATAGTATCATACAGTTTATGCGCTTTTTATTTTCACCCATTCAAAGCCGAACAATTTTCTTCGTAGAAGTTATCTCCCTCAACACTGTTTTCCATGTGACTGCATCTCCTCAGTAACCGTAAAAGAAAGCGACAAATTTATTTTACCAAATTGCTCGCTACATCCTAAGGATTTTTTGTCCAATTTTGACGGAAGCGATACGAACACTCCATATGAGAGTTATTTCCCCTAATGCATTTGAAATAAATGATATGCATTTGTAACTGGTAAACCATAAGTGATAGAGACCTAGGGTCTGTTGATGTGAGGTCCTTGGTCCTAAAGAATAGAAAATAAGGTCAAGGTCAAAGGTCAAGGTCATGTTGTGATTTTTTTACATTAAGTTCATATCGCTTCTTCCTAGAAAGAGTTATAGATATCGACAAAACAATTTAACCAAAAGGTTTGTCGCAACACGTGTTTACTAGAAATTTTTTGTCGAAATGGTACGCGTCATTTTATTGCAGGGTCAATGTCCCTGTTATAGTCGAATCAACAAATTACTTATCAAAACTTCAAACTTTGCAGCTATCATGCTGTAAATGTTTCTAATCTCAATTATCAACCACAGTCTACGACTACACTCCCCATCCCCCCATTTTTTCAACTGATTTTTTTTTTAAGTTATCCCATTTCTATGAAAAGAAAATCGCTTTTAGTCCCGTACATTATACTGTAAAATGCTAATCCTTCTTATGTACAAACTTCTTTCTGAAATAGAAATCCATCCCTGCAAAAATCTGCTCCAATTCATGTATTTTCTGAAATCAATCGATGAGACACGTGCGGTCCGCTTGATTGCGAAATTAAAATCAATGTCGGAGAAATCCCTCCCAAGTTCGTAAATATTACTGAAATCCTACAATCAAATTTCTAAACATGCATTAAAATACAAATCTGTGCACGTAATATGTATGCATGATCCGACATCAATGACCTGTTCAAAATAAAAACAATGGTTTCTCTGATCGATACACATGCGCTCTGTTCAACGGTCTCCCCTGAAAAGATATTAATATAACTCCAGACATATATATTTGAGCGTCACGTGACTTCACAAACACCACCGCGGGCGCGGACCTAAATTTAGAATAAAAAATTCCATATCCAAATAAAGAAAATGGAACTTCCACGACAAAATGTTTCTCAGTTTTCCTACAAGCTCAAATAAAATGCACACACAACAAATATAAAACAAAAACAAAACATGAAGTCAGAGTTCCCGTAGAAAAAAGAGAACATTCATAAAATGAAGATATAAGGATTTTTATTCATAAGGAAATCCTGGCTGTTCGTTTGGCTGTCCGGGATGTACAAATACGCAGCCACGTTCGCTCAGAATATTAACGTTAAGTCCGATGCCTCGCATAGAGAGAGTGCCATGCAAAATTTCAACCAATCAATCAATCAATCAGTCAGTCAATCAACTAATCAATCAATCAATCAACCTACCAACCAATCAACCAACAAATCAATCAATCTGTTTAATATGGGGCCCAAGATCTCATTTGTTTCTTTTTCGCTTGTTCCAAGTGACCCTATCCCATGTGTTTAATTACTATATCAGTCAACCAGCCAACCAAACAACCAATCAATTAATTAATCAATCAATCAATCAATCATGTTTCGGAGAAGAAAGACCGTTAACAATTGTTTTTAAAACACTTGATTTATATTATTTAATTTTTTTCTTCTTCCGCCACTTTTATTTCTTGCGTATACATGTTTTTTCGCAAGATGTCACTTAGATGTTTGGTATATGATATCGAACAGTTTATGCGCCTGTGAAATTCACCCTGCGTAACCGAATACTTTTCTTTGAAGAAGTTATCTCCCAGAACACTGTTTTCCTTGTGACTGCATCTCCTACATAACCGTATAAGAAAGCGACAAATATATTTTATTAAATTGCTCGTTGTATCTTTCGCATGATTTGTTCGATTTTGACCGAAGCCATACGAACACTCCACATGAGAGTTATTTCCCCTTATGCATTTGATATAAGTGATATGCATTTCTATCTTGTAAACCATAAGTGATAGAGACCTAGGATCTTTTTATTTGAGGTCCTTGGTCCAAAAAAAAAAGAAAATAAGGTCAAGGTCTGAGGTCAAGGTCATATTTTAAATTTAGATTTTTGCTTATTTTCAATTCTTTTCAAAAACCGTTTAAGATATTAACAACATATTTTTACTAAATTGTAAGTTGCGACATGTCGTAAAACATAAATTTTGGTTGAAAGGGTACACTAACACTAAATTGGAGTTTTCTCCCCTCTTATATTAAAAATTAGGCACATAGTGATATAACTCATTAACCATGTGTAATTAAGACCTATGGTCTTTTGATTTGAAGCCCTTGGTTTATGACCTTGAAATTGAGCTCAAGGTCATTGGTAAATTTGACGTTCTAGATATTGACCTTTGCTTTTACCTCATATGTATACATGATAAAGCCATGGGACTTTTTGCATTACGTTGCAAGCCACTTGACCATGGAAAAGCCAACCGGAAGTGACCATGTGTAAACCGGAAGTAGTTATTTTTTGTACTTATTTAATGTTAAAGTATATTGAACCATATATTTTTCGAATCAGTATCACGTAAACTATAAAAAAAAAACCGGAAGTAACAATTTATTTCCCTTATTTAGAAAAAAATGTATAGAAACCATATATTTTTGGAATCAGTGTACAATAAGCTATCATTTGACGCTGGATATGATATATCAAACTGAATTTTAATAGTTCTATATCAAAATTGATCTTTATGGGTGGAAAGACCTTCAATTGTTCTCTGAACAATTGGTTTTTAATTCTTAATAATTATTGTTTCAAATTGCAGGAACTAAATGAAAAAAGGATGTACAATTTGAAAAATGAAATCCGAGAAGTAATAACAGCGGTTCATGAAGAATATGCACGATTACCAGGATCGTATTACCAACTCAATCCGAAGAATAAAAGCTTTTCCAAGAAATTATCAGAGTCTTATATGGAATTCAAAAAGGATGTATTACATGTATCTATTCTTAAATATTATACTATTGATATACACACATATAACTATGTCTTTTTTATGAAAAATCCACCCGGACGATACCAAGTTTCAATGAAATTTAATTCAAGGAATAAAATAAAGACCTGTTTACGGTCATTATCGTTCCGTGATACAAATTGCAATCTATAATGTACCTGAACATGCGGAACAATCAATTCATTTGATAGTTATCGTGTGTTATTCATGTTATTGACAATTAATTTTAATTTTCTATTTTCGATAGGTTTAAAACAGAAACTACCTTTTCTCCTTTTATTAGACTAAAATACCAAATATTGTCGTTGAAAACACATTTTTACTTTCCAAACAAAATATCGAAAGTCAGACTTTTATCGATGACATATTTTAATGATTCGGCATACTTACTTTATAAAGCTAGATTATTTTTCCTATAACATAAATTAATTTTTTTACTGTTGAAGGCAGAATGTTTTTTTACGATATATAATAATATTCGTCAAACAGAAAAGTGTCTTCCAGTAAGTAAGCAGCACACGACAGTCAATTGTCAAGCTATTTCTGTTCACATTGATCACCGGATGTTACATAGTGTGTATGTAATTTTTGACTGTTTTTATGTTTTTTTTCTCTCTCTCCACAATCATTGCGATTACTAAAAATAGAATTGAAAGCACATTAACATATTGTCAAGCCTTTAGCTTAACTCAAAACTTATTATTCCTGTATTAAAGAAAATCGTAAGATTGTCAGTGGTTGTTAATTGTAGACACAAATTCTCTCCACAGTTCTTTTGGGTAAGAAACGAAAAATACTTCTCAGTTTTATCAAGATCATTTTACAAGTTAGGAAAACATTTGGCAGCTGATGATCGTGAGGAGTTCCAGTATATATCAAACACGTTTGCGAAGGTGAGTTTGATGAGAAATATATTTATTAATTTATGTATCATTGTCATCTTTTTTTTTTACCTTTTCTGACATCGGACTCAGACTTCTTTTAAACTGAGTTTTACTGTGCGTTTTAATATGTATTTCTTTATTCTACATTGGCTAGAGATAAAGAGGGAGGGCTGAGATCTCACAAAACATGCTTAACCCCGCCGCATTTTGCGCCTGTCTCTAGTCAGGAGCCTCTGGCCTTTGTTAGTCTTGTAAGTTTCGTAATTTTAATTTATTTATGTGTTTTATAGTTTGGTGTGACGTCCAATATCACTGAAATAGTACGCTATTTTATTTAGGGGCCGTGTGAGGACCACCTCCAGGTACGAGATTTTCTCGCTGCATTGAAGACCCATTGGTGGCATTCGGCTGTTGTCTGCTCTTTGGTCGGGTTGTTGTGTCATTGAAATTTTCCCCATTTCCGTTCTCAATTTTATATATTAATAATTAAGATTATCTTCTCTAAGTTGATGTTTTTGGGTGAATGTTTTGTTTCGTTTGTTTCATGAAATTAAGTGATTCTATATTATTCATACACAGACACGCTTTCGAATGTATCAGCTAATGGTAATGGTATGGCCTTTATTACTGAGCATTGTCACCTGACAATAGGCTCGTCAACATTAATGTCATTCATGGGACACCAATACATATTTAGTGATGTTAACAATAAGCAAAAAATTAAATCATGTTTAAAGATTATACGTTATTTAAAAGAAAAGTTGTTGATTAAAAGTGTATTTAAATGACAGATATGTATTGTGGTTTGTTTCTAAGGTTACAACGTACGTAACAAACATAAATAAATTAATGATTTATATACCTAGTATATTGAGTCATTTACGTTTAGAACGATAATTTAGAAAAGAAGATGTGGTATGATTGCCAATAAGACGACTCTCCACAAGATACCAAAAAGGCACAGAATTAAACAGCTATAGCTCACCGTACGGTCTTCAACAATGAGGAAATTCCATACCGCATAGTAACCTATAAAAAGCCTCGACATATAAGCCTAGCCTGTCCTTGATCCGAACTTGTCATGTACATCTGGGATCTTATGTACATGTAACATATAATAATTATTCCAAGATTTCTGGAAGATACCAATTTACAACACGACAATAGTGCAGTTTGTATTGTATTTGTTACAAAACTTAATGAAGATTATGTCATTATTTTGTTTCTTGTAATAATTCGTTTATATATACCCAATCGAATTGGGTGATGAATGTTAGCTCCTGGGGACCATATATATAAAAGAAGATGTGACATGATTGCCAATGAGACAACTATTTACACGGCACCAAATGACACAGACATTAACAAATATAGATCACCGTAAGGCCTTCGACAATGAACAGAGTTCATTCCGCATAGTCAGCTATAAAAGGCCCCGAAATGTAAAACAATTAAACCGAGAAAAAATAACGGATTCCGTTTAAGTATAAAAAAAAATGAACGAACAAAAATATGTAACACAGCAACAACCACTGAATTATAGGCTCCTGACTTGGGACAGACACTTGCATACAGAATATGGCGGTGTAAACATGTTAGCGGGATCCCAACCATCTCCCTAATCTATGACAGTGGTAGACAAATACAACATAAGAACGAACTATACAAATCAGTTGAAAAAGGCTAAACTCATCAGATGGATAGACATAGAAATACGTCTAACTAAAACATAGAGTGACCAGGTACTTGTACATCCCAACAATAAAAAGATACTACATAAAGATCTGAGAGTACAGTTAGTTTAAAGCCAGTAACAGCTGAATGGATAAAAAAAATCATGTATCAAAGACAAAATGCTTACTTTTAGTTTTACTTTTTTGTTATTACTACTTATTACGTAATGGTGTTCTCTCTGTCAATAATGATTGAAAGAACGAATTTTTTTTCAAATTGCAGATGCACAAATTTGATGAAAAAAGAATGGACAAATTAGACAAAAAAATCGAAGAAAAGGTTATGGTTATGGCAAAGCAGAAATACACTTCAAACTTTAATTTAGATTTAGATGAGTATTATAATCAATACAAGGACAAATTATCACAGGTATTCATTCTTTAAATCATAATAATATACGAGGTCAAATATCATAAAACCGCAATTATCGTTTCAATTTAGAAATGCCAGTAAAACTTTTGAAAGGGACATTGACTGTCAAATTCATGTTCCCCGATGTGACTAAAAATTTCTGATTAATAACATACTGAAACGTATATCCTGGTGATGGTCATATAAGCGATATAAACAAAAATATAGATAGATAGCAAACTCGTGCAAAGGGATTTTTTCTACATCTGGTTAATTTCATATTACAAGTTAAAAAAATAATGTTAATCATAGATTTTACCTGTATAAGGATGCGTTTTGTGGATCGAAACTGTCAATCAAATGATATACCTTTGTTTCACTGTCAATGATGCCATTCTTTTCCCATAATTCATGTGGAATCTATCTCTAGCTAATGAGTTTATTTGAAGGTCACATGAATACGGATTCAATGAGGTCAAATAATTTAATTGCACGTGAATAATTCATTGTTAATGTTTCTTAGCTTATTTTGACAATATTGAAGTATACTGGCTGCTACAAGCGAATAATTATTTCACTATTTCACTATTTAAGTCTATTACACTTCCTGTATACATTAAAAACAACTGTTACTGCCAAGGCAATAACGATAAAGCACCAAAAGAATAACCACAGTAAACACAACAGAAAAACTAAAGACTAACAACAAGAAGCCCAACACACATGACATATACCGGGGATGTTCATATTTTCTGAGGTAGAGTAAACAGATTCTGATCAATTATTGCACCAATCGTGTTGCTAATGTAACTAATCACCGGCGATAAGTCTTGTTCGGTTAGTTACATTAGACGAACAGGGGATTGTGGTTACTAAATTGGAACATATCGGTCGTCCTCTGTAAGGCTTAGGCAGATAATCAATATTGGTAAAAAAAAACTCGAGATGGCGTCCATAGAGTTTCCAAAATCATTATTTAAATTCCACAACATGGAACTCTTGGTTTGAAAGCTTCCTTGTAAGCATAAACCCTCTTATGACGAAATTATAATAAAAGATAAAGCTCTCAAATATGTTTTCAACTATAAACTATAAACTATTCAATACAAATCATGCAGTAACTGCAAGTACTCTTAAATCGTACTTTCTTGTTAATTTGACCTGCTGATACTATTTATAATGCTTTTTTCATGGTAACTTGTATCTGGTCTATATACCAGCTTTGATTGTTTGGAATTATTATAAATTTTCACTTCTTTGTACTATGAACATCAATATTATTTCCTTTCTCCTTTTATACTGTATAAACATCACACTTCCGGCACCTGTACTTGAAGAACAAGAAGTTTTATCGAGCACCAAGTTTATAGTTTTACTGTTGATATTCATCCCACACCCACATATACCAAGTTTTGGATTAGTTTTATTAATATACAAGAAACTTCTTGGTATCCCTTAACGGAGAATTATACAGACAAAAGAAGAAGTAAACTTAACAACAAAATTGTTTTCATTTATCTCTGTATATTTAACGTTTTTTTTTTAAAGTTGATATTTTTCTGAAATTGTTTTGCATTTCACAGCGGTATAATACTTTGACTTTAATTATTCATCCCTAAATTTGATTATCTTTGTATTTACATTGTATCCTAGATCAAATGTATTCGTTCAGTGTATAATAATTTGTGTTGCTACGTTTTCTGATTGAGTTAAGCCATTCCAATTGATATTTTATAGTGTGTCTTTCTATGTTGTGATGTTACACGATTGTTTCAGATAAGGAAGAAGGTTTTGTACCATTAAAACGTTTAATCCCGCTGCAATTGTTTTCAAAGAACTACTGATTATTGTGTTTTTGATGTTCAGTAGTTGTCGTTTGTTCATGTGGTTCATTGGTGTTTCTCTTTTTTTATACTTGTATAGATTAGACCGTTGGTTTTCCCGTTTGCATGGTTTTACAATAGTATTTTTTTTTGGAAGGGGGGGGGGGGGGGGGGGGGGGGGGGGAGGGGGGCTTTATGGCTTGCTGTTCGGTGTGAGCAAAGGCTCCGTGTTGAAGACCGTACCTTGACCTATAATGGTTTACTTTTATAAATTGTGACTTGGATAGAGAGTTGTCTCGTCATTGGCACTCATGCCACAGCTTCTTATTCCTATTTTAGTTATTTATTTATGAAAAAAAGCTGAACAATTATTATATGTTTGGAAAAATGGGGAATACTTGTACAAAGTGACAAATATGAAATATTTTGATATTATTGTATTAAAGAGGGAAGAGATGTTGATTAAGTCAACCATATTTTTTTAAAGATTTTTAGTAATCATATCACATCTGCGCTGCCTCTAGATTAGTCTTAATTGATATAAGTCCAGTTCTAAGAAAATAGTCGAATTATTCAGATTACTTGAAAACACATGGAGTTATTATTTGTGCTGATTCTATGTATCAGAATTATTTAGCTGTAAAAGCAGTAGTGGTTGTGGTTAAAGCCAGAACACATTTATTCTTACAGTTTGTGAAAATATACAGGTCGGACTACTTCATGGACAAAAACAGGCCAAACTATTTTAAGACCATAAACAAGGCTACATACTTTACGAATGTGTCAAAATCTTTCACAAAGCTGATTAACAGCATGAAGGATGAGTCTTTCATAAAATATGAAGAAGACTTACGGAGGATACTACAAGAATTCGTTGATGTGAGTTCGATAAGAAATATATCTTCTTGATCAATACGATTATTTTAATTTGTGTAAGTAAATGTTTGTAATTTTTTTTTATTTTGTTTTGGTTTTTTTTTTTAGTTTAGTTTTTTTTTTTACTTTTATACGCCAGTTTACGGGACGTATAATGGTATACCGTTGTTAATCAGTCCGTCTGTCCGTCCCTGCGTCGTCAACATGTCGGACAAAAACTAAAAACCGTTTTAACAAATTTGCTTGAATTGTTTATATCTATATAAAATGCCTTTCTATTTTTTTTTCCAATTTTGTATTTTACGTTTCCAAGTTATGTTTTGGGGTTTTATTCACTCAAAAGGGTGATTTTCCAGTTTTCAGACAATAACCCCTAAACACTTTTACCTATTTATAAAAATCTTTGATGAATGGTTTATATCAATTGACATGTGGTCCCTTTCGATTTTTATATATTTCAGATTGTACGTTTCCGAGTTATGGTTTTTTATTCATAAAAAAAAAACATCATGAAATTGTTAATTTGTATAATGTGTATGGTCGCATTGTCCGTTATGGAATAACCGTATCACAGATGATATCGGATATGTTCCTTATGTCGTAAATACAATACCCATCCCTTTTCACGAATGTGACCTACCGAATTAGACTATTTACCGGATTTGTAATAACATAAGCAACACGACGGGTGCCACATGTGGAGCAGGATCTGCTTACCCTTCCGGAGCACCTAAGATCACCCCCAGTTTTTGGTGGGGTTCGTGTTGCTTAGTCTTTAGTTTTCTATGTTGTGTCATCTGTACTGTTGTTTGTCTGTTTGTCTTTTTATTTTTGGCCATAGCGTTGTCAGTTTGTTTTCGATCTATGAGTTTGACTGTCCCTCTGGTATCTTTCGTCCCTCTTTTATCAATCTATAACTGTATGTCAATTTAAATTTAATGTAAAATATACAATTCGAAACCCGATATCAGTTTTGTTTGAACACAGTTAGTTATCAAATATTTTGTTTCCATGAATGTTGGTGTTTGTTTTTGTTGCACTTTAGTGTTCTTGTTGTTCCTTTGTTTTCCTCGTTAATGTGCTTCCCTCGATTCAAGTTTGTAACCTGGTTTTGTTTTCTCTCAATCGATTTATGACTTTTGAACACCGGTATACTACCGTTGCCTATATTTCTGTCCTAGAAACAAATATTTCAAATCGTGTAAACATGAAATATATGTACTTTGTGACGTAATACACAGTTTACAAGAGAACAAACATAACATCAAAGTCTTACAATACCAATGTATACATCATTCTGAACAAAAAAAAGCCAAGAGACACAAACAAAAACAACCTTCGAAGGCGTTTCCAAATAATAAAAAGATTTATACATTTTGAAAAACAGGAATACGAAAAAGACAGTGTTTCAGAACTTTTGCAGTCGTCGCTTATAGCCAACAAAACAGACTTGGTTATGCTGGTAATGCAGAAAATTGAAAACATGAGCTCATTTGTACTCGATAACTTACCAAATGTATTTATGCTGGTAAGTAGAATGAGTGTTTATCTCTTGTGTTTAACGCAGACACAATATTAACTTTACTTCATAAACCTTTTGATGCTGTTTCAAGAATTGTATTGGATAAAAAGACTTTTTTATAAGATTTGTTCAATGTGCACTATAACGTTGTGGTACCGATGCTACACTGCATATCTTAGTTAAAAATTAAAAAGTGATTAACGATTTAATGTAGAATAGAATACTATTTTCAACATATTTTGACTAAAAACGTTTAGTCGTACGTAAAGAAGTATTACCATATACCTTTGTCAGTGCTGCCTCCACAAAGTGATATTTATATATGCAAACATTAATATCAATTTCAGAGCATTGAAAACAAAGATTGTTCAGCAATTCAGCTTATTCAACAGGTAAACTCACAATCATTTTGAAAGATATCTAAAAACCTTTTACAATGATACAATGATTTTCTTTGACTTAACATATACTCAGTCTACAATAATATCAATATAAACGACACAGTTCTGTTTTTAGTAAAACAAATTAGAAGTAAAAGGCACATTTAATTCTATACAAAGAGGAGAAGTGTGTACCTATGTACCTATGTAGGAATATGTGGACTTTACATTAAGATATATGGTATTATTTCGGTTATTACAAATTATTCAGCAGTTTATTTCAAATTTTGCAATTTGTTTTCCATGTTAACCTTGAATTCAATTAATTAAATAGTTTGACATCGGCAAAAGGGTTAAATAAAATTGCATATCATATCTTCCGTACATGTTTCCTCCATTCATTGATGCATACACCGACGTTATAGTAAATGAAACCTGCTTATTACTGATTAGAAAAACATGTCGCAATATCTGTTTTTATGTCTTTAGCATTTGGATAAACATCATGAACAAGACTTGGAGTGCGATTTGGTAAGTGGTTGACAATGTTGTCATATTGTGAATTGTGTTTGTATTAGTGTGTTTGGCTGTGTTGATTCGTTTGCATTTTCTAATAGGTTTATTACTTGATAAGCATGTGTAAAGTGATACAGCGCAGTTTTTAAACAAAGGCCTTTAATGCAACCAATAAACTGTATTTGAAAAGCAAATTGTACGAAACAATCTGAGACATATTGAAACAGTTTCATATCTTATACACTTTCTTACATACGCAAAAAAAACAGATGACTAAAGTAAGAAAAAAAAAACCAGAAATTAGGTACCACTTGTACCAGTCATGATATTTGACAATTATTAATGTTGTAATTTATATTTCCTGTGTGTACATGTATGTATGTGTTTGTGTATGTGTATATGCTTGTGCAATATAGATTTATCATTTTCGCACGTTTTGGCTTTGCTTCAAATCTGTACCTTAAATATACGAAACTAAAAATGATAAGCTGCCTTTAAAAGAAGACAGAAGTTCGAAACATTACAGGAATGATAAAACAGTTAACACTAAGCGATACTTAAAATAAACTTATTATAAAAGGTTACCAATTCAATATGTTATCATATCATTTAATATTGTTTTGTGGGGAATAAATATCGATTCTGTCATCAATGAAGTAAATCCAAACTACATGTTAATGTTATAAAATTGAGAATGGAAATGGGGAATGTGTCAAAGAGACAACAACCCGACCCTAGAACAGACAACAGCAGAAGGTCACCAACAGGTCTTCAATGCAGCGAGAAATTCCTGTACCCGGAGGCGTCCTTTAGCTGGCCCCTAAACAAATATATATACTAGTTCAGTGATAATGAACGCCATACTAAACTCCAAATTGTACACAAGAAACTAAAATTAAAAATAATACAAGACTAACAAAGGCTAGAGGCTCCTGACTTGGGACAGGCGCAAAAATGCGGCGGGGTTTAACATGTTTATGAGATCTCAACCCTCCCCCTATACCTCTAGCCAATGTAGAAAAGTAAACGCATAACAATACGCACATTAAAATTCAGTTCAAGAGAAGTCCGAGTCTGATGTCAGAAGATGTAACCAAAGAAAATAAACAAAATGACAATAATACAGAAATAACAACAGACTACTAGCAGTTAACTGACATGCCAGCTCCAGACTTCAATTAAACTGATTGAAAGATTATGTCTACATCATATGAATATCAGGCACAATCCTTCCCGTTAGGGGTTTAGTATCATACCATCATAACATATATGAGAAGAACATAACCCGTGTCATGCCAACAACTGGTTTTTAAATACATGTGTTTAGTGCCGATGCAAAGACCCTATAAGTGAATCAATATTAACGCCAAAATATGCAATCTTTAATGACCTGACAACAGTATCGTAACTATATCCCTTCTTAATAAGTCTTTTTAAAGGTTTGTACACTACAAACTAATAAAAGTTTCAAATAGGTAACATGTGAACTAAACTGTATTGATTTTTACTTCATCATTTTTCTCGAAAGGACATAGTAAACAGTCTTAACTTGTACTTGATCAGTTTAAAACAAACTGAAGAGTCTGAATCATACTCAACCCAAGTCTGACCCATAATTGAACTAGTCTGAACTGTAGTCAATCAAGTTTATCAATCTTCGACTTATTCATAATATATCGCTCACCAGTGTCTGAGAAGACAGTTGATGAACCAGTGTTATGCAAAAAACGTTCATCGGATAATACAACGAGGTCTTTGATAGATATTTTGTATCAACATCACCCTTATGAGTTGTTAGTACTGATGATGTTTATCAACCTTATTACATGTTATACTGTTCTTTTATTTCCCTTAGCATTAAGCCTGTTTGTTTTGCGCACACACTGTTGTCAATATAATGGAATTTTACTCGACTGCAAACCAAGTGAGAAGTTAAGCTAGGTATTAAACCAGGTTTAATCAAACTTGTTATACATAATGAAATGCATTTATCTAGTTGAGAATATGACTGTTGTTCGGTGTGTTTGAACTTTTTGTTTTGACATTTGATAAGGGATTGCTGTTCTGAATTTTCCTTAGAAATCGGTCTTATTGTTATTTTACTTTTCCTTCATTGTTCTACTGTGAATTCATTATTATTCGTTGAATACCAATTTTCGTTAATTTCGTGGTAACCCGGGGCCCACGAATTCCAATGTACAACGCATTATAAATGTCCTATAAAATGTATACCCGGCCACGTCCACTTTTATTTGTAGTATTTGTATTTATATCCATCTGATGAGTTCAGCCTTTTTCAACTGATTTTTATAGTGCGTTATTATGTTGTACTGTTACACCACTGTCCCAGGTTAGGGGGAGGGTTGGGATCCCGCTAACATGTATAACCCCGCCACATTATGTATGTCTGTGGCTGTCCAAAGTCAGGAGCCTGTTATTCAGTGATTGTCGTTTGTTTATGTGTTACATATTTGTTTTTCGTTCATTTTGTGTACTTAAATCAGGCCGTTAGTTTTCTCGTTTGAAATGTTTTACATTGTTATTACGGGGCCTTTTATAACTGACTATGCGGTATGAGCTTTGCTCATTGTTGAAGGCCGTATGTTTACCTATAGTTGTTAATGTCTGTGTCAGTTGGTTTCTTGTAGAGATTTGTCTGATTGGCAATCATACAACATCTTCTTTTTTATTTAGACTTTGACAAAACCACGAAAACAAATATCAACGAAAAATGCAAGTTTTCCTCATTCCACGAAAATTGGTACCCACGAAAATAAACTAATCCATAGTATTTAGATTTTTGAACAGAAATTTTTACCTTGGCAAAAGTTATACCAAAAGGTGTAAGAAGATTGAATGTACAACAGTGGTTAATTGTTGAATGAATCATATTTTTAAATTAAACGATTTATTAGACAAGTACATGTAAGGATTATACTATGTTCAGTACAGGTTGAGTACAGGTCGAGAATGGGTAAAAGACAGTTTCTGTATTTTTTAGTATGACATTTCCATAAGGTCAAGGTAAAGATCATGTACACGTTCAGACTGTTTAGTCCGATCCAAACTTCAGTCTATTAGAATCGAGTAACATTCAGAATGGCCAAGTAAAAATCAGTATAGCGGAGTATAAATAAAAGCAACAGTAGTATAACGATGTTCGAACGTCATCAATCGTTCGAGGGAAAACAAAGCCGGGTTACAAAATAAAACCGGCGGAAACACATCAACTATAAAAGGAAAACAACGAAACAACAGAAATACTAAAGTGCAACAAAAACCCAAACGACAATGTAACACACACAGAAACAAACTATAAGATGACAACAGCCATTTTCCTGACTTGGTACAGGACATTCTAAAAAAAATGGTGGGTTGAACCTGGTTATGTGCACGTTTCGTCCCCGATGGTATCACCAGCCCAGTAGTCAGCACTTCGGTGTTGACATGAATATCAATTATATGGTCATTTTTATAAATTTCCTGTTACAAAACTTTGATTTTTTCGAAAAACTAAGGATTTTTTTATCCCAGGAATAGATGAACTTAGCCGTATTTGGCACAACTTTTTGGAATTTTGGGTCCTCAATGCTCTTCAACTTTGTACTTGTTTGGTTTACGATTTTTTGGATCTGAGCGTCACTGATGAGTCTTATGTAGACGAAACGCGCGTCTGGCGTATTAAATTATAATCTGGTACCTTTGATAACTATTATGTTGCCAGTCAAAACTCGCGTTCTTGTAGCAATGTCAAACATAACACTAAAAAGGACAACACTACAGGACAGGAATACAGCACAAATATATGCAAGAACAGTCAGGACAGAGAAATACACAAATAAACAATACAATAATACATTCCAACATTGTAATAGTTATCAATTTCATATTTTCACTATATATATATGCACATTAACGGTTCTACAATCTGTCCATACCTGTATCTTGGCAATGCAAATGTCTTTTGTTTCAATGTTTGTTATTGACGTTTTTAAACTAAATCTATTGGATTATGGATGTGAACTGATTGTAATAAAATCTAATACATGCTTTGTTTATTAAAGAGAGGCGAAAGATACCAGAGGGACATTCAAACTCATAGATCGAAAACAAACTGACGCCATGGCTAAAAAAGAAAAAAAGACAAACAGACAAATAATATTACACAAGACACAACATAGAAAACTAAAGACTAAGCAACACGAACCCAAAAACTTGGGGTGATCTCAGGTACTCCGGAAGGGTAACCAAATCCTGCCCCACATGTGGGACCCGTTGTATTGCTCATGATATTACAAACCCGGTAAATAGTCTAATTCGGTAGATCATATTCGTGAAAGGGAACGGGATTGTAGTTACGAAATAAGGAACATATCCGATATCATCTGTGAAACGGATATTTCATGTCGGTCAACCAACTCGTGATGGCGTCCGTAAAATTTACGAAGGGATGATTTCAACTTCACAAATCGGAACTCTAAGTTTAAAAGCTACCTTGTGAGCAGCAACCCTCTATCAAGAAATCATAATAGGAAATACAAGCCCGGAATGTCATATCAATTGGAAGATCTATACTCCGTATGCAGGCGCTGCTGGAATGTTACTACATAGAAAATGAATGTTCGCAATTGGGACGCTGAAATCTCCTCTTTTGTCGTACAGTTATTTTGTCAACCGACCGTCATTGTCAATTTTTAGATGTTAGTCAAGATATGAGGCAGACTTAACAGTATCTATTGTATCCGTTATCTCTAGTTCGATGGGATAGATGCGATCAAAATAGTCACCAAATTTTGAATTATTTAGTGAGAAAACATCATCTTTATAGCGGAAAGTAAAGTTAAAGGATATTGCTGACTTCGTTTCTTTCTTCTTAAGAAGTTCCTGTATGAAGTCAACCTCATTAGAATAAAGGAACAAGTCGGCAGGAAGAGGGTCACAATTGGTTTCCATGGGAATGATGATAGTTGTTATCGGTTTTGAACAAGCTGTCAGTAACGGGTAACGACGATGACATCCGATTTGTACTTACTGTCTTTTTTTTTTTGTTTGTTGAGAGAATGTTTAAGTTTCCTGCCACGTCTGGTTTGTTATTTGTTAGTGTTTGTTTTGCTCTGTGTTGACATGATTTCAGACCTTTTTTCAGACCTTGTCTCATTGGAAATCAAATCCTATCTTTATCATGTGTATATTGTTACATATATTTGTTTTGATTTTTCTCAAACATTTTTAGACAGGTAAATTACAGAGTGAATTGGAAATAAAAAAAGATAAGGTAGGATATTTGGCATTGTTAGTATTGTTTTGTATATCTCTTAAATGTGTTTGTTTATGAGCGAGTGTGTGTGTATGTGTGTGTGTATATTTATATCTGAATATGTGTGATTATATCCTATTTACCAAACACGATGTATTATTGCTTGTAGTCGTCGCTTCCATCATACCATTTAATCACCGTGGTATCTGAATTAGTTTAACACATTTAAGACCGTCACGTTAAATGATTCTCCTGGTTTACAAAATATGTTTTCGTTATTGTGAAAATCAACATGAGTACGTGAAATTTGCCATAAACAAACACGCAGAATATGAGGTTTCTGGCTAGAATAAACAAAATCGGTAATTTATCCTGCATTTGGCAATTTTTTGCGTGAATTAAGATATTACTTATATCAATGTCCATTATCTGAAAAACACCAATAAAAGGGTAGCAGGATAATTTCAAGTATTATTGACGTTACAAAATCTTTATTAAATGCCACTAGAAAGCATATCAACATACGAAAACATTGAAAATCGCAATACAGTTGACAATAAATATAAAAATGGTATATTTTACTTGGTGAACGTATCATTATAAATTCATTGTATTCTTTTCTCTATCTGTGTGCAAGTTGTATTTTCAAGAATTGACACGTGTCTCATATTTTCCTTTACGTTACATTACATTTATGGTTCGTACATACTGTACATTATTGTAACTAGTCACCTTCTTCTAAGTGATTTCGTAATGTCAAAATGATCTCGAATTATAAAAAGGAGTTTTGTTTTCATTCTGATTTTCCTTAGAAAACTACATTGTAGTTGAAAATAAAAAAGGAAAAAAAGAACAACAAAAAAGTACTCTTAGCTGTCAACAATTTCATCATAGATTTGTTTGAAAATCCAGAATTTAAGCTGTACGAGTTCAAAGGTAAGTTGTTTCTTATTTTGTCATTTCGAACGATGTACTAAGTTCAGTGTCAGATGAGAAATGATTCGTCAGTATCTAAAATGTATAACAAGCTACAACCATTAGAGAAAACGATGTATCATATGAACTCCAAAAGAAGTAAAAGGTGTTCTTCATGAACGCAACTACAGCCAAATGATTTAAATTAACATCATGAGCATGTATCATCATATGACAAAAACGGCATTGTAATTGAATTGACTAATTGGACACGTAAACTATTTTTTTTTAATGTTTGTAGTTTTTAACAAGTTGAATTTTCAATATGATTCAGAAGTCAATAATATTGCTGTAAACTTTTAATAAGTGTGTGGACATTTCATGAAATATGGTTGGCATTTCTGATAATTTTATGAAATCAGAATGTCTTTTTGTGCTGTTGAATAAATTAATCAAACGGAATTAAGACAGATGTTTACTGAGATCGGCAATATTTCCTGATTTATTACAGTACAGGAACAAGTCTGTTTTTAAAGGGCACAATTGGGAACAATGCCATTGCAAAAAAAAAAAAAAACAAGAACAACGATCACCAGTGAAACAGTCAACAAAACAAAACAACAAAAACTATAAACTGAGCAACACTTCCTCCACATGCACACAACTGTTAAACCACGCATTGATGAGCAATTACAGTAACATTTTGATTTTGTACTGTTTCTGAAATGTTATGTGTTTAATTATTTGACTGTAGAATTTGCATTCCAATCATTAGAAGCCTGAAATGTATTGTATTCGATACTGAAATCATGCAAAGCATTGTCCATAAAATTAGCGTTATAATAGACACACACTTAGAATTATAGAACGAGTTATCTTAACACATCTGATTGTAGTAAAATACCAATTATATATTTAGAAATATATTCCTTGGTCCGTAATGCAACAAAAGCAATATTATATTGCGGTTATTTGTGCAGTTATGTATTAGATTGTTACAAACTCGATATTGTCTCATAAAAGATAACACCCTTGATCGGATATAGATTAATGATTCGTGATTTCATGATTATCCTCATTTAATAGATACCAACATTATATCAAATTTCCTGTCAATCTTAGCATTTTGTTGATAGGCAGTTTATGTTTAACATTTTAACGGATATATACAGAGCAAATATTCTTTTTATCAGGTAAAGAAGAGCTAAAATTAATCCATGAAGACAAACCTTTCCATCATCTTTTTATTTGGGCTGTTCTGGTAAATTGGAGAGAAATGGCTATGATTTTCTGGGAACAAGAAACCGACCTTACGTGTAAGAGGTTATACTCATTAATAATGGACATACAATAAGATCATTTACAGACTTTAACCTTTGCTTAAGTATTTTGTTGAATGTAATGTAGGTACTCAATATCAAACACGCTTTGTGAACGAAATACATATCCAATATTACATATTTTCAATGTTTTTGGGGTGTTTTGATAGCTTTGGGAGTAAGAAATGTCCCCATATTCGGCCATACATTTCAGCAATTTTCAAACCCCTCGTTGTCTTATACGACAAGACAAACACTCAAACATATGTATGGAGATCTATAACAGAATTACTGCGTGTGCAATTTGTTATTGTTATCAACTATAAACGAGTTGACCGAAACGATTAATTATTTGGTAAGTTTCATTTTTTTAATTTTTTTTCGAGCATGTAAACAATTTACCCATGGTTACAATAACGTACTATCCCGTTTCTAATAAGATTTGTACTTCAATACCACTGCATTGTTTTTCCGATGTTATGTCTGTTTTTCAAGATACCTGCCTATGCCCTAGACAATCATTATATTGTAAGCAAATACTTAACGAATGTATTTGATCTATGACACAAAGTTAATACAAAACTAATAAAAAAGGTGGTAAAATGTTTAACAATATCAAAAGACAACTATAACCTGAGGCAAAATGCCAGAGAAGAAGATAAGGTTAATATTAAAAAAAAATTAAGGAGTACATTGAGTACGGAAATACTTTTACAAAATAAATAAATTTGTTTTTCATTGTGCGAGAACATTAATGAAAATTTATTGTCATACTTAATATTTATCAACGGGGGTATATGTTAAAAATAGTGAGACGAGAAATAACACATTTACATGTAATAACAAAACTACATTAAAAATTTGATCTACCGGTCAAACTAACAAGAAAGTACGATTTGAAAGTACTAGCAGTTGCTAAAAGATATTTAAAAGTCACAAAACAAAAAAAGTTATAGAAAATAATGCACCAGAAACTGACATCAACTAAAGTTTATTTAAAGGTTCGTTGAGATCACACGGATTGCATAGTGATTTCAGTGGTTTTAGTACAATATTATCGTCAAATTCAGGATAGGAATAGTTTCTAAAGATTCAGCCAGGTTTAATAAGGACATCTCTGTATTAAGAAAGAACAGGTTTTTTATATAGATTAGACCGTTGGTTTTCCGGTTTGAATGGTTTTACACGAGTAATTTTTTGGGCCCTTTATAGTTTGCTGTTCGGTGTGAGCCACGGCACCGTGCTGTAGACCGTACTTTGACTTATAATGGTTTACATTTTTGTTAAATGTATCAACCAGATGTAACAATGACATATCTTTACAGAGTATAGACATACATTTACACTAATATGCATAGCAATACAAAAATATGCAACAAAAGAGACATAACTGGTGCCCATATGAATACCTACTACCTGTCGATACACTGTATCACCAAAACGTACATATATGTTGTCCAGCAGTACATAAAAAAGCTTGAATTATATTTTAATATTTCCAGTAAGTGTATGTGGAATACTTTCCTTTTTCGCTATAGAAATAAGTCTTTAAACGAGTTAGACCAAAAAATTTGCAATAAGATTTTCCGAAAAAAAGTTGTATTTGAAGAGGGCTACTTTTTATTGAAGTGTTATACCACAAAACCATAGTACGTCACATCCGGGTGCATAAGTTATAAGAAAAAGAAATTATTTTCTAAGCAGAAACAACAAATTATTCACTAATAAGGAAGCTTTGTTTGTCGCTCTGGAAGTTGTATGTAAGGACTTATCAAATCTCCTTGGATAGTACAATCAGCTTGAAACTTCAATTACTCCTTTATTATAACATTTACATCCTAATTGAGTGAAAGTTATCCTAACATTTTTATTTATTGGCCAAAACAGTTGAGATGTTGAGGAAATTAGAGGTATTAATGGACCAAAAGAGACACTACAATGAAAACAAAGAGAGCCCTTGATGGTGTTTATCGTCCCAAAGTCCTTTTCTGTGTCATATTCAACTGTTTGTATGCATATCAGATAAATATTTGATCATTAATGGGCCCATACTATATTTTTTATGATGTAGCTTGATTTCGATTTAGAATCGCTGTAGATGTCGGCCTACATTATATGAGATTTTTCTCAATTTATTGAATTGGTAATGAGATAACTTGACCATAGTGCTTTAAAAACGGTATTTCAATGGAAATTCAGTTTATTAAACAAAAAAATTTACTTAAGGTGTAATACCACCAAATCATAGTTCGTAACATCAGGTAGCATACGAAAAGACTTTAAAATATATGCAGTGAAATGTAATGTGAAATTTCGTCTTTAGTTCTGACCAGGATAAAACCACTCATTTCTCAATTTGGAACAAAGATAAATTCAGCACATTTTTGGAAAAGTGCAAATTTAAAAAAGACTAATAGAGCAAAATTAATGGTGGTATTACACATTGATCAGATTGTGTCGAAGTGCAATTCAGAGAGTAAAAAATAAAAACTGTCAACAGAATTAAAAGGAACATCAACAGTACGTATTTTATCTTAAACCTCTAAGTGGTCATAGATGTGTATGACGTATCATTTAAAATCAAACGTTTGCTTGTTTTTTTTTTTTTTATAAGAATACGAAATCATTGGTGGTTCTGTATTATCAAGTTATGGCGGTATTGGCTTATGGATGGTACAGTCGATAGAATATTTAAAAATAAGTCAATACCTCTATTTGTATATCTTCATTTAGGAAAATGCCGTTTATGATTTTCAAGTTTATCTATACTAGGAAACAGCCTGTGATCACAACAGGCTGTAATAATACCGTTGTATTCATACAATAGGGTCGAACGATACCAGAGGGACATTCAAACCGATAAATAAAAATAAACTAAATAAAGACTAAGCAACACGAAACCCACAAAACAATTAGTATGATATCAGATGCTCCAGAAGGGTTAGAAGATTCTGCTCCACATGTGACACATTTCATTATTCAATAATAAGTCATACAACGGGCTATAAATTAAATGTTCTTACACTTCAAAAAAAAAATATCATAACATTTACTTATGGGTGTATGTTTTGCATTAATTTCGACGTATGCCATAACAATTTGGGCGTTTATCAGTTAATGGAGTGTTGCTAAAAGTAGATCCTTCTGTTTTGCTAACGCACTATACTTAAGACTATTGTGAAGGGATAGTATCAGCTTTTTCATTTGGAACTCCTTTGAAAGCTTCCTTGTGACCACCTGCTACCCTCTATCTAGGAAATCATCATAGGAAATACGCGACTTGAATCATTGTATCAATAGTAAGATAAATACTCTGTATGCAGGCGCATAAACTCATGTTTTTTTAAAACTGTCTAGATAAGGGGAATTAACCAAATGATATGTTAAAACTATTTTTCTGTCTCATGTTTTGATATAATATGATATAATCTAGTTCTGATCCATAGTTTATTTCTGACTGATACCATTGGTTTCTCTTTTAAATGACATGTTTTGTCATTTCGGAACGTTTAACAGCTTACAAGATAGCGACGGTTTCTCCTTTTGTTACTTGCCTCCAAATTACCTTCAGTTGGTCACCCTCGACCGTAGGTCGTCTTTGAATTTGTGTGTGATAATCATTCAACTAATCCCCTTTTACACAAGCAGTTGTAACGGATCATAGACTGCCGAATAGCATATGACATAATATATGCAGACAATGCTCTATATGAATCTGTTTCAATTCTTATACATCCTTAGCTTTTATATATTCGGTTTTGAAAGTACACCTTGAGCGTAAATCCAGACAAATGCTTTGAAAGAAAACAGTTTTAATGTACTTTTCCATTTGATAAGAGCCCTATCAATCTGAGAAAGGATACTGACATGGATGCGTTATTTATATTTAAAACATTTAAAACGTCCTTATCAAGATCAGTTTTCGGGTCGAATTTTTTCAAAGTGTTAAATAAGTATTTTTTTAATTGCAGGTTCCGCTTTATTTGCAAGTGCAGTACTAAAAGAATTGTCTGAAAAGGCACACTTTTCTAAACATATGCACCTCAGTCAATCATTAAAAGAAAACTCTAGGTAAGCATTTGAGGTAAACCATTGTACGACATTAATTCAATTTATATCTAAGGTCATAACTGTAATTTTTTGTTGATTTTAGTTTCGGTTGCTTGTTGACAGTTTATATCTCATCACGACTGAATTTTAGAACCAACATCGTCTTTATGGTAGACGATATTAAAACTACATAAAAATGGTACGGGTTTCTTGTTTTTTTTTTGGATATCATAAAACATAAATATGTGTTATTTGCTAATAAGGCAATTACGTTAACGATGCTGCAATTGAAAGTTCATTTGTATTATATTTGTTGTTTTACTTAACAGAGACATAGATTTTCTTTGTTTTTATAGAGCAAGCGGACAGACAAAAATATGTCCTTGCGTAGTTCTTGATTAGTATAGTGTTAGTTTTCATATTTTCAAATTTTCACACTACATTTAATCGTTTGTTTGTCTAAAATCAATGATTGGTGAACAAATAAATTTCTTAAACGGGCATTATATCATTATTTTGTCATATACTGTAACAGAACTAAATCGGAATTACCAAAACATTTTAACCGTATCAAGTGTTCTGTTTTTTAATACTGCTCGTTGTAAACGGTATCAGAGAAACCTTATCGTTGCGCGTTCCTATTACGGGGACAATGCGTAGTAAGACAGTTACGTTAATTAGACTAATATCATAAAACTCAGAAGCACTTAAAAATACAACATGTATATACCTTATCCAATGTTATGATTTAAAGGACCTTCATTTTCCATGTGTACACATAAATCGGCAAAACCACAAAATCGAATTTCCACGAAGATACAAGTTTTTCCCCAAACCACGAAAATTGATATCCACGAATATAAATGAATCCACAGTACATAAAAGTTGAGCAGGCTACCTTTTCAGTATGTCAACAATATGTTGCTAGAGTCATGTCAGCGCGTTGTAATCTATAGTTTTTTCGGAACATGATGTTCAGCGGTTATCATTTTTTTATGTTGTTCATAAGTGTTTCTAGTTTCTGGTTTTAAATAGATTAGACCGTTGGTTTCCCTGTTTGAATGGTTTGGCACTAGTCATGTTGGGGGCCCTTTATAGCTTGCTGTTCAGTGTGAGTCAAGGCTCTGTGTTGAAAACCGCAATTTGACCTATACATGTAATGGTTTAATTTTACAAACTGTGACTTGGATAGATAGTTGTCTCATTGGCATTCATACAACATCTTTTAATACCTATTTTATTTGTCACACTCTATAATATTACTTGTTGTCATATTGTGCTCTCTGAAAACATTTTTAAATCATTAATTTCTGACAGTTAGATAATGTACAGTTAGTTGTTTCTAATACAACTGGTGAGTTTTATACAGACAAAACACGGGAAAACATTGAGGTCACCAACCTCGTTTTCGATCGTTTTCATGTGTTGTATCGATTATGTTTTATATTTCATCTCTCACGTTTGTGTTTTTCCCAATTTTTAAATCAATTTCAGACACTTCGAAAATCTTGCTTGCAATGTGATGACAGAATTGTATAGCAATGATAGAGAAAACGCTCTTACCACGCTGGTTACAAATGTTGACCGATATAAATCTACACCTTTAGAAATTGCTGTCTCGCAAAAACTGGAGAAGTTTATGGCACATACAGCCTGTCAAGCAAAGCTCAACAGTATATGGAATGGAGATATTGAAGAATATACACCATTCTGGAGGGTATGTTGAATGATATTTAAAGTGTCGATTGGTGCATTCAGCGCTTGAAAGCGTGATAAAGCGTTATAATTATGAATTCAGGACACAAGTTGGAATTGAGAATTTGCAATTCGTAGATCGCAAATATTAACACGTGTGGCTAGTATTTTCCAGAACAAAACATGTTTCTCCTCCTTTCTTACACGACATTACTAAGTTGGATTCATTATCAATGGCGATATAGGAGTGGTTCATATTCCTCCTTCATTTCTGTCAAGAAACTATTCAAAATCTAACTCGACAAAGGAACAATAGGTATAACTTCGATAATCTGTTATATTTCTCTATAAACGTACTAATTTAAACATTCAATAACAAAAAATGTGTAGAAGGATATCAGTATTTACGACTGTAAGACTAGACTATCTGATTGCATATGTGCTAGTTCCTATTCATATAAAAATCCTATCGGTCACGATATTATGTGAAATGTGCTTTCCAAATGCCAGACACATCGTAAATCACAATCCATTTATTGAAAACACACATCAGAATACTGATAGATTCAGTCAAGAATTATGCTAGATAATGGGTAATAGGCTACAAAAAGACGTCGATACTCTGTCCGAATGGATCAAGGCTGTAAGGTCGTTGATACAAATTAGAATAAAAACACCGAATGGGTCTATAATGCAACTTCTTTAGGACATGTATGTTGCAAAACACATATCCTTCAGCCATTACCAATTTAGTGTTGTCCCCATGGAAGGCCTCCAACAAATATCTTGTTTGTTTGTTTATCACTTTACATAAAATGTTTTGTAAATTTTTAAGGTATTGCCAATTCATTTGGAAACTCAACATACATGTATATACCACACACTGCTCAGAATATAAAATGACCTATATTGTGCTCTGTACAGTCAAGCACAGATTTTACTTGACAATACTTGACATAATCTGGACAGTACTAATAATTCACGAATCCGTCTTGACCTAACTCGGCCAGGTTGAGCAAAATATTTGGTCTTTTCAGACTCTGGACATTTTTTAGTGTATGTGATCCCCACGACACTAATTACCAAGACTAAAAACTTAATATCGTGTGAATCTTCCTTAAAATTGTTAACCAAAGACGAACAACTAGATCTTCCTTCAATGCATTGGTAACATAAAGTACAGATGTGTCCTTACAACAAAGGTTTTATTACTGGGTCTTTTAATGCTACGCGGAACCTTTTTATAAATTATTTACATCAATTTCATCAGCAATCAAAGCCTGACGTTAAATGTGTTGTGAAACATCCTCTTTTTGAGATTGCGTGAATCAGATATGTGAACTTATAAAATTCAAAGATCTTTTATGGTTAGTCTTTTGTGGACGAAACGCGCGTCTGGCTTATTAAATTTTAAAACTGGTACCCTTTGCTAGCTATTATTCGTGTGTTTCTCTGTCCTATGAGTTTTCCCATTTATATGTATTGTAATCCTGTCATGTAATGATGTTATTTTAATGTTATATTTAACATTGCCATAAAAGCGGGAGGTTTGGCATGCCACAAAACCGAATTCAACCCATCATTTTTTTTCATAAAAGTCCTGTACCAAGTCAGAAAAATGGCCATTGTTACATTATAGTTTGTTTCTGTGTGTATAACATTTTAATGTTGTGTTTCTGTTGCGTCGTAGTTCTCCTCTTATATTTGATGTGTTTTCCTTAGTTTTAGTTTGTAACCCGGATTTGTTTTTTTTTTCTCAATGTTTTTCTTTTTATGAATTTCGAACAGCGGTATACTACTGTTGCCTTTATTTATACGAATTAAACTATTTACCGGATTTGTAATAACATGAACAACACAACGGGTGCCACATGTGGAACAGGATCTGCTTACCCTTCCCGAGCACGTGAGATCACCCCCAGTTTTTGGTGGGGTTCGTGTTGCTCAGTCTTTAGTTGTCTATGTTGTTTCTTGTGTGCTATTATTTGTCTGTTTGTCATTTTCATTTTTAGCCATGGCGTTAATGTTGTCAGTTTATTTTCGATTTATGAGTTTGACTGTTCCTCTGGTATCTTTCGTCCCTCTTTTTATAGAACCTTAGACATTTTTTTTTATCTTGCAATAGTATTAAAACAATTGACTTCTCTATACTGTGCAAAGGTATTCCCAATTCAAAACTGAAAGACACATATAAAGAGTTTCTGATTCCTTTAACCGAAAAAGAATGGCCTACATTTTATCTTGTCTTATGAAGTAAAAAATCAAGCTTCGTAGAGAAATCACTCTGTTTCAAATAATCTCTGAAACTGACATCAAGTAGCTTTATTTCTTGACTGACAAAATATGTTAGAGGACGTGTTTTTAAACAACGATCTGCATTCCCATAGGAATCAACTTTGCTCCTTCTCCTGCCGACTTGTTCCTTTATGCAATTGAGTCTGACTTCATACAGAAAAAAAGATAACTTCTGCTAAACAAATGATTTCTCTCACTAAATAATTAAAAATTGGGTGACTATCCCGTCGAATTTGAGAACAAGAAATAATAGACACAGTTAAGTCTGTCTCATCTATTGACTTACATCTAAAAAACTATTAGGAGGGCTATTGATAACAAAAACATTTCGACAAAAGAGACGATTTCACTGTATTAATTGCGAACTTTTTATTTCTATGTAGCAACATTCCAGCAGCTTCTGCATACGGAGTATATGTTTCCCAGTAAATATGATATTCTATGGCTTGTATTTCCTACCATGATGTTTTTGATGCAGGTATGCTGCTCACGAAAAAGCTATTACACAAATAGAGAATTTGAGATTATCCCTTCGTAAATTCTATGGATGCCATCACGGGTCGGTTCATCATCATGTAATATCCGTTTCATAGATGACAATTGATATGTTCCAAGTGTTTTCACAACAATGTCGTCCTCTTTATCCGAATGCGACCTACCAAATAAAATGTATCACTAGGTTTGTAAACACATGAGCAACATGATAAGTGATACATGTGGAGCAGGATATGCTTACTGCTGCGGAAAATTGCTTTTTGGTCATTTTTCTGACATCGAAAAGGCATTTTTACAACATGCGACACGATTTGTGTAAATGTCTACTTAATATAAATTGAAAAGCAAAAAATGATGCAATGTCGCTTTTTTTTTCGCTTCATTGTTTCCATTTTTTCTGAGTGGACCTTTTTCCAGTATGTACAGACTCAGAGAAAGAATGGTGACATAATGTAACTATAATGACTTAACATGACATTAAACCTGTTTATGTATATACAATACTTTTAAGCTTAAAAGATGAAAACATAGTTATCAATACTTTAAAACATGTACAGCTGAAGACAAAAGGTTGATTTAAGCTCATATATTGCACAGTTATCTGTCAAATCTTTAGGATAAAAGCATGCTATCATAAATTACTATGCAATGATGTAACTAATCAATGATGATTAAGATGCTCAATTTTGGGGAAAATGATTACATTTGAAAGGAAAAATAATAAGTGAGACGACTGAACAGTAATAAATAGAAGATTTGTTTGTATATACATTGTCAAATTAGACTCATGTTACTCCTAGATAGCATTGCATAACCTGTGTGTGAATTTTACTTTAAATATAGTTTACTATCATTATATTTTCAAGATTTGACAATCATGAAAATATAGTTAACAAGTTTATGGTGGTGTCTTTTCTCAAAATATTATATTTTAAGTTGGTATGGTAATATTCCTTCCTATGTTGCTAATTCATGCAATAGGATTCATAACTTTTAAAACGAAAGAAACAACGTAACAGCAAATAAGTCCAGATAAATCTCGAGATGAGGACCCATATCAAAATCTAAATGCTGACCAAGGTCACAAAAGAATAGCAGAATCCTATGGGACCAGACTAAATTCCATACACCGCTTTTACAATGCACCAGTTACAAAATTTTTTGTCTATATGGTAGGTTTTTCTATTTCTAGTATCCTTCCTCTATCATACAATATTCTATGAAGTTTTAAACCAAGCTAACTTCACACATATCTATATCAAGCAAAAGCTTTGTTATTCAAGAATAAGATAGAAGCATGTTCATGATGCTTATTTAGATGTGTATTTCCAAAACTTTCAATTATGCGTAAATAATTACATTAGATGTATGTTTCATTATAATACGTTATTCTGATTGGCTAACTGCAATCTCGAGTTATTCCTTAATCAACTTCATTACACAATAACATTTATCATAATTTACTTCGGTCAACGCTTTTACACCCCAATGCAGTTATAAAAAGAAGCATTCAATTTTTAAATACTGTTGTTCTTATATCTGATTGTAAGACAAATTTCGAAGGTCAATTTTATGGGTTCCCTTTTCCGTAAAGCAGACGCGTTATCCAATGTGACGTCTAATTGTATATCAACTGTCTATCTAACACAAGCTAGCATATAAGATGTATTTTTTTTTTCAGAAAAAGTTAAGCTGTTCATTCGATTCCATATGTATACTATTCCAACCTATAGATTTAAACTATAACATGTTTCAGCTGTTCTCGAATTTACTTTTGATCAAGAAAATAATTTTGAACTAACTTTAGGTTTACTTAAAATATGTCCAATGATTAGCTAATAACACGTGGTAAATGTATTTTATGTTATCAAATATTTGTGTTCCATAGTTGATACATTTTTTTCTGAATATCAACCATTGGACAGTTAGCTACCAAGAAATCAATCAATCAATTAACATGTTAACATGGAAATAAACTAATAAAAAACGTCATATTTTGATATTCATTCGATAAATTTGGTTTGTTATAAACGAAAACTCACTCTTCAAACTAACAATCATTATTATGTGTTCCCATGTTTTATTTGTAAGAAAAAAAAGTTAAATGTGTGTTACGTGTGCATGATTTGAAATAGGTAAGTTATAAACGAAGATTCACACTTAAAACTAACTGTCATTACTGTTTGATCTAATTTGTTGAAAACAAATTGTCTAATAGTATATATTTTAAAAGTATAAGCAATGATTTATATACTAACAAGTATCAAATAATACATCTGTAATATAAAATGTACAGAGAATGTATTCAAACAACAGTTATATATCAAACAACAGTTTTTTAAAGACAATATGTATTACATTTGACAAAATGCATGAGTATTGTGACTGAATCAAATACATAGAATCACGGTTTCTTAAAAATGCAGAAGGTATGCAGCTTTCCCTAAAATGGCAGTTAAAGACACTTTAACAATTAGGTTAAACAAATAACACATTTTTGTATTCAAACAATGACTACTATACATGCAAACTTCAACTGATTTAAACAGAGCTAACGTTGTATTCGATAAAACACAATGAAAGTTTTGTCAGTTAAATCTGTCGGTGAAATTAGCCACTCAAAACTCTTCATGTCATCACAATTTGTATTGAAATCTCACACTGTAGAAGTCATAAGTGCGCTGACACTGTAAAAATTTTAATATTAATTTAAGAAGAGATTTATTGAAATATTTGTTATATCAAAGTGTATTACCAATATATATTTCTCTTGAAGATAACATACATGGCATTCGTGGTGATCTTTGCGATATTTGTTTTGACTGATTTGCATCCTTTGTCAGAAAATCCGCCATCTATACTTGAATATTTAACTTGGTTGTGGACTTTGTCAATAGCGATAGATGAAATTAGACAGGTTTGTCTTATATAATAACTTATGTCTATGCGTAATGCGAACAAGATACATATTCATTATAATTTTTTTAATAATTAATGACTGCAACCATTGGTGACCAATGCAATCTATAATTTTTTTTTTTTTTTTACAAACGGAAGCAATTGATTTCGTGCAAGACATTTTTTTTCATTATAAATTTATTACGAATCTGAATTCAGCAAAAACTAGTTTTTTATTTCAGAATAAGAAAACTTCATTCATGCAATATAACTCCATTTACAGCTGATAAAATATTATTACAGACATGACAGATGCAGATAAACGATAAATCCACTTTCTAAAGATAGATAAAACAATCAAAACTTAACATTGCTTTTTTTTATTGATTTTTCGTTTACCTAATTTCAAAAAATGTATTTACAGATACATCAAACACACAAGGGATCATTTTCAAAAAATCTAAAGTATTGGGCTAACGATGTCTGGAATATATTCGACATTATAATGTATCTTCTGTTCTTGTTGTATGTTGTGCTACGATGTTTACTGAATTCGGACCAGTTTTACTTTGCCAGAATGTCTTATGCAATTACTCTATCGATGTTTATCTTGCGCAGCATGCATTTCTTCTTTATCCAGAGGTATATTGGACCTAAAGTCGTAATGATAGGAAGAATGGTAAGCATACAATTTAATTACTACGTTATCGATGTTTATCTTGCGCATTTCTAGAAGTTTACTCTCCATAATTGCTATTCACATTTGTACAGCTTAGACATTTGTATGTTGTTGTATAACTTTCTTATGTATTTGTGCATACATGTCGTTTTTTCATTACAAGTATTTTATGACATAGTAAAATAAAATTGAAGTCATATGTAAGTAAACTGTTGAAAAGAAAAAAGAAAAAAAGCTGCAGATACTATTCGGCATTGAAAAAATAGGACGGGCATGGCAATAAAAGTCTAAAAACAATTCATAGAAAGCCCAGTTTAGTAGGCCACAACAAATACTGATCATGTTAGATTTAGAGTTTCGCATATACTGTAATAAGAGTACAATAAAAGCTTAATATGTTGGAGAAATATAATAAAAAAAATATAATCAAACTCGTTTGCATTGTTAAACATTAGGGGTTTTGCAAACAGTAAAAGCGGACGAGCACAAAATGAATCTCATTTTATTTCCACAGCTTGGAGACCTTGGTTTTTTCATTGCTCTATATGCACTGTTTCTATTAAGTTTTGGAATCATGTACCAAGCTATTTTGTTTCCGAATTCGGTGTCATCACCTTGGCAGCTGATAAAAGATGTTGTTTATTTACCGTACTGGCAAGTGTACGGCGAGCTAAATTTAGAACAGATTGAAGGTATCCATTATGATATTAATACGTGTTACTACTTTAAAGTATTTAGACGTTGTTTTTGCCGTTGTCCTTATCGACTTGACAATTGCGTGTATCTTCTTCATTTTTTGTTTGTGTATTTAAAATGTGCATTTAAAAATAGCAAGTCGGAAAATTCGGAGGTACAAATTACATGACTAAGTATTGCTGAACTTTCAAAACACAAACAATTTCAATTTTCATAGAAATGCCAACATTTACAAATGGAACAAGCTCTAATAAAATGAACATTATAACTGCTTTAAGGAAGTTCACTCTCAGTTTCAAAATAACAAGCTTTTCATAAAATAAGCATTTATTAATAGGGGATTAATTAAGGAACCAAAAATGCAAATCCAATATATAGGTCAATATGCTTGTTTTCGAGATATAGGCGTTGTAATTTTGGCGGAAACATGTTCTTTTGATTTTTCGAGGCTTTATCATTGACAAGTTTAAGTTCTTAAAAACTATTAAAAAATAGCAAAGATTTTATAAGACTTTTACAGATGGCTTTTAATTTAATAAGATTTATAAAAAGAAAAATGGGGGTCAATGGGCATTCAAATGGATAATGCCAGAGGATTCCGAAAATCTGACAAAAATCCCAAAACATGACAACCGGACATCCTTAAGTATCGATCAATGTTATTTTTTTCCCGTGGGCACATGTATTGAGTCTCCTTTTCCAATGCTTAATCCTTCCTAAATGCTTAATAAATAGACTCAAATAGATACAAAAATGACCAACGCTAATCAATAAAACACCTCAGATTAGGATAAATCACATACACAGAAATAGGGGTTACATACATTAAAAAGAATTCAATGAAGCGACAAATACCGTATTGCGGGTTATTTTCGCGGTGTGTAAATTTTCACGTTTTTCGCGGATATAACAAAATCGCCAAAAAAATTCCGCCAATTTTAAAGTGGGCATGCAAAGGTATTGATGAAAACGTTGAATCCGCCAAAATAATAACCATCAAAATATTTCGTATACCTTATTCAATGAAAATCGCAAAATTTTACACCCACGAAAATTATCCGCTGTACGGTATAACACGGAAGACATCTGCGATGCAGATAACCATTTTCAACAAGACAAGACTTAATTACAAGGTATACCAATATGTAAAATTTGTTAATACGAAAACGAATTACAAAAACCTGTCATAAAAAAAATTAAAAGCTACAGAAACCAGAAGATATACATATGATCACTACTGACCTTGTTCGTGTCTCTTAAATAAATGCATAAATATATGAATTTATAACCTAGTTTTTAAAATATAAAAACGTTTTAGCTATTAAACAAGCTTATTTATAAGAAAACAAAATAAAATGAAAATTCATTGAGGCAAAAACTAATTTAACCTGTAGATAACAGTAATAAAAAATCAACAAAACACAAGTAAACAATTGATAATAGTTCACGATAACTGAGACCAATCCCTATCTCATCAACCCAATAAGGTGGATTATGAGTACATATTTCCTCATATAATTTGTTTTATACTTTGCCAGAATGTAGATGTTTGCATGTTTTTTTTCAAAAACATGATAACACGTATTGATTACTGTGCTATTCTTCAAGATAAGTCGTGCACAATTGACAAATGTTTGAATAGATGGTTCATTGATAAACAACTTTTAAGTGAATAGAAAGAAATCTGTAAGATAGAATTTTTGAAATAAAATAGGGAAAGATAGGTTTAAGAATTGGCTTTAAGAAACTAAAAAAGAAATGCTGTCAAAGACATTTGTTTTCTGGCTAGGAGTACAAATTCTAAGTTTTTCTAGCATTTCTTTAAAAAAACTACTTTGTGATCTATCTCCAATTGAATGACTAAGATGACAGTCTAATTCGAACAAATGCAAGTATTTGGTATTTTGTAAAATAAATCACCTATTATAAAAAGTTCAATCCATTAATTGCCAAACTATGTCAAAACTACCCCTATTAAGAACTAAAATTCTACAATCCAAGATGGTGGTATACAGTTAATTATTAATTTTTTTTAAACGTATCACCAACCTAATTTTCATGCTCGTTTGTGTTGACATGGCTTATTGTTGGTATGATCATATTCATATGTTAAATATTTACTTCGAATTGTTCGAAATTCCAAATATTTTCTACAGTAGTAAAAGAATAACTGAATTTGACAGAACCCCATCAAAGTTCGGCTTCTCTATGATCTGTCACGCCATACTTTGTTTGGCCTTCAAACTTATTTAATCAAGAGTCATTGGTAATTCGTGCGAAATAACCAAACAGCGAAGGGAAAAAATTAAACGGAAGCAAAAAATATTAAAACCAATTGTTCAGAGAACAATTGAAAGCTTTCCACTCGAAACTATACATTTTGATATGAAAAATATTACAATCTAGTTTGAAATGCTATTTTAAGGGCCAAATGAAAGTATATTGTACACTAATTTTTAAAATAATATATGGTTTTCTAAACTTTGGTTTAAAATAAGAGAGACAACTTGTTATATCAGGTTTTAAACAAGTTACTTCCAATATCATTTAATAGTTAACGTGACACTAATTCCGAAAATACCTAGTTCAATATACGTTTACATAAAGTAAGTATTAAAACAAATTTACTTCTGGTTTACACAAGGTCAAATCCGGTTGATTTTTTAAGGTCATACGGCTTTCAACTTAATGTCACTAGCTTAATCAGGCATACCTGATAAGTTAAAGCAAAGGTCAAAATTAAGAACTTGAAGCTTACCTGTGGCTTTAACTTGAATTTCAAGGTCATAAACCAAGGACTTCAAATCGTAATATCCTAGGCTTTTATGAAACATAGATTATGAGCCATGCCATCTTAAGTGTAACAGAAGATATATAAGAAGGACGAACAATCTAATTAGATGACTACGTACCGTTTCAAACAAAATGTATGTGCTTTGACATTTCACAACTAATAAGTTAGTAAAAATATGTTGTCAATATCGTATACGTTTTTTTTTTTTAATGGGGTAAAAAGCCAACATCAAAATTCCAAATATGACATTTTACTTGACGTTATAGTCTTTGTTTTTTTACCAAGAACCTGAACTCAAAAGACCCTAGGTTTCTATCACTTATGGTTTACCAGTTACAAATGCATATCACTTATTTCAAATGCATATGGAAAAATATCTTACGTGTATATGAAACCGCTTTAGTAAAAAACATGAAGATATACTTGTAACAAGTAATTTGATGAACGAACATTTTGATTTCTTACAAGATAGCGAAATATTAGAAATAACAAGAAAAATAGTGTTCAGGGAGATAACTTTTACATTGATTATTATTTGGTTAAGCAGTGTCAGTTTCAAAAGCGTATTTACTGTTTTATATCATATACCAAATGTCTAAGTGACATCTTGCAGCATAATCAAACAGTGAAGGAGGGAAAAACAATAATAATTAAAAACAGAGAACAATTGAAGGTAATTCCATCCGAAACGATGTCTTTTCATACGAAAATATTAAAATCCAGGTAAATGTCATTTCCAGTGTCAAATGTTAGCTTATTGTATACTGATTAAAAAAAAAAATTGTTTGAAATAAGGACTATAATTTGTTACTTACGGTCCGAAAAACAATCACTTCCGGTATTTTTTTGTAGTTTACTTGACACTGATTCTAAAAATATATAGTTCTATGTACTTTTACTTTAATATAGCACAACAAAATAGCTACTTCCGGTTCATACAAGATCATTTTCCGCTTGGAATTTTCAAGGTTATATGGCTCGCAACCAAATGCAAAAAGTCTCATATATTATATATAAATATGAAGTTAAAGCAAAGGTCAAAATCTACAACATCAAATTTAAAGATGAACTTGAACTCAATTTAAGGTCATTACCCAAGGATCACAATTCAACATATCCAAGATCTTTGGTATATATGGTTAATGAATTATATCACTATACATGTAATTAAATTGAAAGAGGCGAACAAACATCTATTTAATTTCTATGTAACCTTTCAACTAAGATTTACGTGTTACGACATGTCTCAACTAACAATTAGGTAAAAATATTTTGTCGATTTCTTATAAGATTTCAAAAAAATAGTGATAACAAGACAACACAAATTTTTCAACATGACATTGACCTTTGACATTAACCTCTTTTCATTTATATGGACCAAAGACCTCAAATTAAAAGACCCTAATCCTCAATAACCTATGGTTTGCCAGATACAAATACATTTCAATCATATAAAATACAGAAGGGGACATAATCTCATATTGACTCTCTATACGGCTTTGGTCAAAAATTAAAAAAAAGCATATTGGCCCAAAAGATAGCAGTTTTATAAAATTATTAAAATGTAAATTTTGAGCTATCTAATGGAAAGAAGAAGGCACATGTATCGGGAACAAGCATCATTAAGTCATACTAAATTACTGAAATCTTTACAATTTAAGCATTTGAGTTAATTTTAGACGGTTTCCGTCTTGAATGGAAGTGGCCCTATTTGTGTTCATTCTTAATATTTAAATGTAAGTTGTATTTTATGATAATACATAACATATATAAAGATTGAGGATCAACACGTATGCGGCCACTTTCATTTTTGCAAAAAAAAACCATTTGAAAAGTGACGTATTATTGCATATTCGATAGATTTTTAATATGTATGCTTGAATTTGAGCGTCTTTAATGACTTAATCAGCTCAAATCTTTCGAATTTCAGCGTATACACTGTTTGGTAGAATATACCAAATATCCAAACGACATCTTGCAAAACAATAAAACAGCAAAGGAAAAAAAAATAAACAGAATAAAAAAGAATAAAAATCAGACAAAACTAATAGGACTTTCTACGGAAAGGTGGAAAGAACTTATTATCAGAACAAAAGTAAGTGTTATGTCCACGGAAAAGTGAAAAGACCTGATACTATGAATAAAAGCTAAAGGTCTTTCCACAGAAAAGTAGAAATGTAATAAACGATTCATTGATTGATTGATTCGTGTGTGCATTCACTTTCAACACTGTTTAGCTATTTCATGGCGGTCAAATTTTATTAGTGGAGGAAGTCGGAGTCGCATGCAAAAATCACTAATTGTTGAAAACTGACAATCTATGTCAAATAAGATTATATATATATATATATATGAGTACCCAGCATGAGCGGAGTTTGAACTCCAAACCACAGTGTTTACTGATTAGTGATTACAGTAATTTAACTTATTGGACCATTCGTTTCAGTAGTTCAACTTACACCGTTTGACCACCGAGGTCAAAACAATAAAAGAAAAGCATTAAGATACAAAATACAGCTAAAATCAAAAATAGAAGTACGTGTTCTTGTTTCGCACAATGTGCATGTCTACAAATCTACAATTTATACCGTTTTATTACTAAAACTTAGTTATTGAATATATTCAGATTTAAATGAAAATTTGAATTTATGGGTGTTTTTAATGATTAATTATGTTATGTGAAAACAAGTTTTTTTTTAATTGAAAAATGAATAAATAAAACTCCAAATTTCTTTTCGATTGATGGACTACCACATTTGTAGCTCACCTGGACAAAAGGGCCAATGGGGCTTTTCTAATCACTTGGCGTCCGTCGTCCGTCGTCGTCCGTGGTCCGTTTTCCGTCGTACGTCGTCCGTCGTCTGTCGTCCGTATTATGTCGGCCGTCGTCTGTCGTCCGTTGTTAACTTTAACAAAAATTCTCTTCTGAAACTTCTGAGCCAAATTTAACCAAACTTAGCCACAATCATCATTGGGGTATGTAGTATGTAAAATGTGTGCGATGACCCGGCCAACCAACCAAGATGGCCGCCATGGCTAAAAATAGAACTTAGGGGTAAAATGTATATTTTGGCTTATATCTCTGAAACCAAAGCATTTACAGTAAATATGACGGAACAAAACTGGTTGATCAGGTATTGATATATCTGCCCTGAAATTTTCAGACGAATCGGACAATCGGTTGTTGGGTTGCTGCCCCTAAATTGGTAATTTTAAGGAATTTTTGCTGTTTTGGGTGATTATCTTGAATGTTATTATAGATATATATAAACTGTAAACTGAATAATGTTCAACGAAAGAAGATCCACAAATAAGTCAGCATGACCCAAATGTTCAGTTGACCCCTAAAGGGTTTGTTGTCCTTTATAGCGAATTTTTAACAAATTTTTGTAAATTTTTGTTATCTTACAAAAGTCTTCTCCTCTGAAACTACTTAGACAAATCCCGCCTGCCAACCTACATGGCCGACATGACTGAAAATAGAACATAGGGGGTAAAATGCAGTTTTTGTCTTATATCTCTGAAACTATAGTATTTAAAGCAAAATTGACAATGTTTAATATGTTTATCAGGGTAAGATCTATCTGTTCTGAAATAGTAAGACGAATCAGACAAGCCATTGTTGGGTTGCTGTCCCTTAATTAGTAATTTTAAGGAAATTTTGCAGTTTTTTGGTTTTATTTTCTTGAATATTATCTTAGATAGAGATAAACTGTAAACAGCAATAATGTTTAACAAAGTAAGATCTACAAATAAGTTAACATCACCAAATTTGACCAATTTTTTCATAATTTTTTGTAATCTTTAACAAAAGTCTTCTCAAACAACTGAGACAAATGTAACCAAACTTGGCCACAATCAGCATTAGGGTCTCTAGTTTACAAAATGTGTCCAATGACCCTGCCTGCCAACCAACATGGCAGAAATGGCTAAAAATAGATCATAAGGGGACAATGCAGTTTTTGACATATATCTGATTGTAAATAAGAATATCAGGTGAGCGACACAGGTTCCTTGGAACCTCTAGTTATCAATGGCAATCATACCACATCTCCTCAATTGTGTATAAGAAATCATACATAGTGCACGTGCGACCCACATTTGTTCTAGTCCCTACCTTAGATAATCATTCACATCTTTATGTAATAGATTTTACTGTTTATATAATTTGTTTAACTTAATTGAAAACTAGTACTAGTACTTTGAATCTTCTAGGCGAACAACATACAAACTGTACGAATAGTCGTCAGCTCTACACGAATGGACCAATACCACGATGTCCAATAAAAAACCAGTTCAATGCGCTGATGCCGGCTGTGTATTTAATTTTGACAAATATTCTGTTAGTGAATATTATTATTGCAATGTTTTCGTAAGTATTAGATACATATATATGGCTTGACCTGAGAAATTATTTTGGAAATTTGAAGGCTTTCACTGTTAATTATTACAGAATAGTGACAAGATAAACTGGAATTGTACTGTTCGATGTGTTCACTTGATCTACGCATTTTATGTCTTCGCAATAACATATATCGCAATATTTCTTCCGTTCTATATTCGAAATAGGTAATTTCTTTTTTTCTAAATGTAAGGTGTTAATATTAAAAAGAAGATGTGTTATGATTGCCAATTAAACAACTCTCCACAAGAGACCATATGACACAGAAGTTAAAAACTATAGGTCTATTCAATATATACAAAAAAAGCCTGCATCAGATAATTATATGCTCGAACAAACAATGAAATAAAAAAACAATAGCATTTGTTTCATTTTTGTTTTTGACTTTGTTACATTGAAAAAAAAAATTAAAAATAAGCAATTGCAAAATTTCTCACAATAACGTTTAAAGTGTTTATTTTTATCTAATGCGGAGATACATCTTTATTTCATACTATAAGTTTATCACAACAACAAGTGATTTATGTCGTAATCATTTGTTTTTCACAGGCGAACATTTGACACAGTACAAGACAACTCTGAAATGATTTATAAATTTCACATGTATGCATTGGTACATGAATACTATGACAGACCAATGTTTCCCATACCGATAGTTATACACTTATGGAGATTAATAGTATTTTGTTACGACCATACACGGACTCCTAAGAATTGCGGAGGCGCCTTTGGTAAATATTGCCAAATTATGTCGAAAAGCATTGTAATGCTGTATTTATTACAAATACATTATGCTATATAAAAAGAAGATCACGTATGATTGCAAATTATACAACTCTGCACTAGAGACCACATAATGACACAGAAATTGAAGACTATTTGTAACATTACGGCCTTCAAAATGAGTAAAGTCGATACCACAGAGTCAGCTATAAAAGGCGCCGAAGTAACAAATGCATAACAATGCAAAGGACAAAACCAACGGTATTATATATGTACAAAAAAATAACAAAAAAAAAAGGTATTTAAAACACAAAAGTCGAGCAAGCAAAATCACTATAACACTTGTATTTTAACAATTATTGATTCTATATATCGAATATTTTCGTTCTAAAAAACTAATTCCACAAACAATTTATTAAGTATCAAAATGTTTTCTCAGATACCTTTAAAGAACATTTCATTAAATACAATGCAAATAATTTTTTTTGTAATTTTGTTACGATACATTTGGGTTTTTTTTAATTTTTGGTAGAAAGTGATACCGGCAATATGTCAATGTTAATCAATTTAATAATACATTATACATATTAAATAGTTTCTGATATGATAAACTAGTTCTGAAATAGTATTGAATGCTGACAATGAACTTTTTACAAACTGTAACCTATCATTGTGTAATAGGCACATTTATATGTTTTGGGTTAATCAGTAACTCAAAGTTTTGTGAAAGCTTAATGCTTTTATATCAAATATTTCGAAATATTCTTTAAGCAACAACAACAAAAAAAAATTCGAGAAGTTGTAACGTTTTTTATCAGATATTTTGAAATATCCTCATTGAAAAACACCACAACGACTGATGATGAGGACATGACGTCTGAGTTGAAATATCTAACGAAAAAATACTTTGTCAGTTGGAAAGCAGTTCACGGTTTGTCCACAAGTCTATCAGCAACAATAGAGTAATGTGACCGTGAAAATTCAGTAAAACTACAGATGAGACAAACCTCATTGTACTCACTAAAATACCACGGATATGATAAAAACTTATTAATCAAAATAATCTTTAATTTGCATAGTTTTAACTCGTCAAAACTTACATATCAACTCAAAGTCCTTTTTTCTTCATTGTATCTTCAAACTGTCTATCGATCGAAAAATCTAAATATATTCGAGGAAATCAAATATGTTGAGCTTAGTTTAAATTTGGTAAAGCATCTCATTAAGACAAAGCCTATATATCATATCTAGTGAACAAAGTTTTTATTACGCAAACGTCAAGTTATTTTAAACACGAAGTGGTGTTTTTTTTTTTTGCCAAATTTTGTTAGTGGTTATCTCCCTTTGTTATTACCAGTTAAAAATAAAAATCCAGCAAAATAAAAAAAAAGATTTCTAATTTTACAAAAATCAAGAACAAATAAATGAAATTCGATTTACACTATGTTATTATAATATTAAGAACAGAAACTGTCCTACTTTTCAGCAAAGGAATAGAGGTACAAATTAAACATCCAAAAATGATAAAAATCTAGAAATGTCACATTTAAACCTAGGTGAATTTATGTAAATTTACTCTGGCTAACGAAATTTACTTTACAATTATATGGGATCACTCCCAGTAGAAACATTTTAGATACTTCTATTTCAAACAATGTTTTATGCAATGAAACATACTTTCTACAATTTAAATAATCATCCTGATTTTATAAAAATAATAAAAAGTACTGATCATTTACATTTTATTATATTCTAGAGAGTGGGACTAATAGTTTGAACTTTCTAAAAACAGACAGCCTTTTAGCTGAATCCTATGTTTCTTAGTTGAACAGTACGGTACTGCCTAGAATTTAGAAAATATCCTACAGAAAAATTAAAACAAAAATATTGACAGAAATACTGTAAAAATAATACTTTAAATTATAAGTGACATGATTTTGAATTTTAAAATCATTATTATTGTAGAATTCAATTATAAGAATAGCTAGCACAGCTAATGGTCCGTTCTGAATTTCTAATAAAATTTTATAAATTATGAAAATTAACTTTTGGAAATAATAACTGAATAATCTTCAGGTTGATGTATCAACTAGTATACCATATCTATAATAAAGTATAATATAGTTTACCTTAAGAGTTGAATATTTATATCACAAATGTAATCAGTGGGAAAAGGTTGTACCTTTTACTTATGATCACTTATGATTGTTAACTATTTGACAAGAATATACCATTTGAGTATATTTAGTTTTGTAAGAAAACATCTTTACTGTTATGAATTAAATTTATCGTTTGACTTGATAAGCTAGTTTATGTACTGAATACTGTACGTTATAATATTTAGTAAATAGTTAATCAAATAAACAAGGTTTTTTAAACTTAAAAGTATTATTTCCTGACCTGCATTTCCTTTTTTTTAGGGGGGACATGTTTCTTTCTAAAGAAATCTGCATTACAAGGCATTTTCTCTTGCTATTTCTTGTGTTTTTGTCCATTTATAGGCTATCATAAATTTTTCAGAATTGCAGTATTAATGAAATGTTCTATAAAGACGTAAAATTTCAAACTCAAAAACAATGATCTCTGTTTCACTTAAATTCCAATGTGTATATTTTTTTACAATGCACATGACCCTGACACATATTGTGTTAACGTTCTAAAACGTATGTTGAAAAAAGAAAACAATGTCACCGTCAATTTGTGTAGGCAAAAATGGTTTTAGTTACTTTGAAATGGAGGCATCGTATTGATTTAAAAAAAAACAACAATTTGTTATCACAATTTCATTCGTTTATCTAATAACCTCAGTATTTATAGTACTTTGGAAACAGGCACAGTGACAAGAAGCTGAACATTCACTGGTTTAAACTAGAAACACAACCAAAACCATCTACACATTGACATAACTGGTGGATCACTAAAATGTTCAAATTAGAACAAAAAATGATGGCTTCATTATTGTGTAGAAATTTTAAATAGGTTACCCAGTTTCATTTAGGTTATAAGCGTTCTTTTCCGTATTTGGATACGCAAACGTCAAGTTGTTTAAATTCGATTTTTTTGGCGAACCAAAAAATTGGCCGATATTTTTTTGACGGACAGGATAAAGTTATAGCAAATCAAAGTTATTTTCGATAATTTGTCTATGTCGTATTGAAAATGCATTGGTCACATAACCTACAAATTTTAAAAATCAATTATAAAGAAAGCATGACAAGATAAATAATAAAAATATTGAATAAAATAGTTTAAACGTTGATTTTTTAAGTTGATTAACTTCACGGACTTTTTGACGTCATCGACGACTGTAGCGCCATCTAAATAATACCCCCTGCTATTCTTACTGATAGAGCATGACTGCCACGAACGTTTCCAAGAACTTGCTTCCCAACTGTGTTGGACATGACAAAACACTAGTATTGCCCTCTTGGTATATATATACATATATATATATATATATCTATTGTTACACTAGGACTTCCTTTCCTGCATCTATCTTTAACTACTATTTACTTATAGCAAGAAGATTTGTCATCATATCATTTAGTCTTTACTTTTTCCAGGTTAAGACAAAAATCTCTTCCTGTGGTTATTATCAAAACATAACATTTAATATTTACAATGTTTTCTAAAAAATAAAGTAAATAACTGATTAGTACATAGTACAATTATACATTTTGCTATTAACTAATGCACATTTTGTTGTAGTAAATGATGTTCCGCACGTCGAAATTGAAAGACTACATGTTGTTGAAAAAATTGCATTCGAAACTTATCAACACGGACCTGATTATGCTCGTAGTAGATATGATGCGAAGAACATGATGACTGACGAAAGGTAAAATACTATTATTTATTCGACACAGATAACAAAACAGATTGTTGATATTCACTTTTTCCCTGTATTCGTTATTTTCACATATCTGCTTAATGAAGACTCTTACCGTATGCTGGTTGTTTTTTTGTTTTTTTTTTTTGCCTATTTTGGATAGTATGCATCCACGTTGCACAAACGATGAAAAAAGTATACTTATAAATTGTAATATAGTGTAGTAAGAAAAAAAACATTTTCAATTGAAATGACCGTTTTTTTTCAAAACAATTATTGTATTGTTATGACAGTCCTTATACGTTTCAAACTTACTCACATTAGTAAAGTCACATTCAGTTCTTTTAACATGTTTAAGACATTTCGCTTTCAATAAAAATGAAACGTATTTTAAGACTTTGTTTATACTGCTTTGAAGATTTGTTACTGTACCCATATAAAATTTGACATAATTATTATATTATGTATAATGTAATTAAAAAAAATTCGATGGAGGACAAGCAAAATGATTTAACTTATCATTTTTTCAAGTCCCCTCCCCCCCCCCAAAAAAAAAAAAAACAAAAAAAAACAAAAAAAAATGTATAATATAAAATAATCATATTTAGGTTAAACATTTGCAAATAATGTATCTTCTGGTAATGCATGACTTGTACATGTTTACGTAACATATGTTGGTTAGATTCAGATTATAAACGAATTGTACAGTATAATGAGGTAAAAATCATCTTTTGATTGTAAACAGTAAACCCAGAAATATTATGTAATTATGTAATTACCGTCATACATGTACTACATCAACATCATTAAGTATCATTATACTAAATGCAAATTTCCTATTCTATTCATTCTTTTCGTTCACTGACCTTTCATAAGCCCCGCCAAACCATAGCAACATCTGATGATATCAGCACCGGTTCCTAAACCCTAAAAAAACACGCTGAGCCCGATGTTTGCCGATTCGGAACAATTACTATCCATTAACGGATTCTTATTTCTACTTCATATTTGCGCTTTGTTGTGATTATCATTTAACATGAACACAAATGTATCTCTTTAAAATGATTAACTCTCATGACTTCTGCATTATTGCAATCTAGGACATTCATTTTGGTTACATTTTGTAAAAGTAACATCAAAATTAGTATAGACTTAATTACCTAATTTACTTTCCGCTATATAGATGATGTTCTCTCACTAAATAATTCAGAATTTGGTGACTATGTTGAACGCATCTATCCTAACGAACTAGAGATAAAGGATACAACAGATTCAGATAAGTCAATCTCATATCTTGACTTACATCTAGAAATTGACAATGAGGGTCTGTTGAAAACAAAACATTACGACAAAAGAGATGATTTCAGCTTTCCAATTGCGAACTCTCCTTTTCTAAGTAGCAACATTCCAGCAGCACCTACAATACGGGTATATATCTCCCAATTGACACGATATTCCCGTGCTTGTGTTTCCTGTCATGGTTTTCTTGATAGAGGTTTGCTGCTCACAAGGAAGCTAGAAAACCAAAATTTCCAAATGGTGAAGTTGAAATCATTCCTTCGTAAATTTTACGGACGCCATCACGAGTTGGTTGACCGTTATGGAATAGCCGTTTCACAGATGATATCGGATATGTTCCTTACGTCGTAACTACAATCTCCTTCCCTTTCATGAATGTGACCTACCGCATTAGACTATTTACCGGATTTGTTATAACATCAGCAACACGACGGGTGCCACATATGGATCAGGATCTGCTTACCTTTCCGGAGCACCTGAGATCACCCCTAGTTTTCGGTTGGGTTCGTGTTGCTTATTCTTTAGTTTTCTATAATGTGTCATGTATACTATTGTTTGTCTGTTTCTCTTTTTCATTTTTAGCCATGGCGTTGTCAGTTCATTTTCGATTTATGAGTTTGACTGTCTCTCTGGTATCTTTCGTCTCTTTTTTAATTACTTTTCCATTTGCTCTTTTTTTATTGATTTTTTTTTTTTTCTTTTCATAACAAAGTTCATACAAATGTATCATTTCGAAATTGAGAATAACTGAAAACTTACTGTCGGGATTGTCTGTAAATAAATTAAGCACTTATTATGTTCAATGCATCTAAAGAGCTGATAGGATAAATCAGTAATGTTCAGATCAACACAATAGAAAGCCAAGGAGGTGAACAAATGTAGAAAGGTTAGAAGATGTATGCCCAAAAAAACGACGTATTTGCTTGTTTGACTAATGGATCTTTGGTCTGTATCATTGACACTATAATTGAGTGACAATAGATTAAACAATAGCCTAAATAAATTTTAAATAATTAGAATATGTGTCTAGTTATTGGCAATATGGGAATTGTTCTGATTTTATACCTTTAAAATTGAAAATGGGAATGGAAAATATTTTAGAGAAAACAACTCGTCCAAAGAGCGACTGTTGAAGACCACCGTTGGTTCTTCAACGCAGGGAGGAAATTCCGCACCTGGGGATTGTCCTCGGCTGGTCCCTAAATAAAAATGTATATTAGTTTAAAGAAAATGACTGTCAAACTAAACTCCAAAACATATAAATGAACTTAAATTACAGAAAAAAAACATACAAGACTAACAAAGGCTGGAGGCTCCTAAATTGGGACACAAGAGCGCGAGGGGATTGTTAAAATTTTTGGGAAATCTCAACCCTCGCCCAATACCTCTAGCAAATATAAGATAAACACATCAATACGCACAGTAAAACTAAGTTTAAAAAGAGTCGAGTCCGATGTCCGAATAGGCAACACTGTTACATAAATAAACAAAGGACTTCTAGCAGTTACATCATGTCAGCTCTAGACCTTAATTTAACTGATTGAAAGAGTATGTCTTCATGTAATGAAAATCCAGAACAATCTCTCCCGTTAAGGGTTTAGTTTCATACTATCATAAAATATATGAGGAACGCATTACCCGTATCATGCCCACAACTGGTTTTCGAATTAATGTTTTTATTTCCGATGCAAAGACCCTATGAGTGAATCAATATTAATACCAAAATATGCTGTCCTTTATAACCAAACAACAGTATCGTAACTATATCCTTTCTGAATTAGTCTGTGTAAATGTTTGATTATCTTTTGAGGTGAAAGACGACATGTTTGTGCTTTATAAAGAATATCATTGAAGATTAAATGTTAAATACCTGCACGAATAAGATGTCTGCTTGATGATTTACAAATGCTATCCTTCTACTGATGATAAAATTTAGTAAATGTTTTGATTAGTTTGTGATATCAAAAACCCTGGTGTAATAATTTCTAAATAATACAGACATTGCTTTCGTTCATATCAATTACGTTTGTATATACTTTCAAAACTCCAGCTTCGAATTTGACATTGATGCTTATTTTACCTTGGCCCAAGGCTTGGATACGCACATGAACAATGAAGCTCCGACAAGTGTTTCTAAGATTAATGCTCTGTATACATAATTAAAACATCCGAAAATTTCAAATTATTAATAAACATTGTTGACATTTTCATCTCCTCATGTGATAATAGTTATATTCGCTTTGCCTCTAATACTTAGAAATCACCATTTGATTTTTAATGACTTGTAAAAAATTTTAGGGATATAAACAAAGAAATGGAATCAACACCTACCCAGCATGACATCAAGGATTAACGAGAGGAAATGCATCAAATGAGAGACTTTTTGATTCAGGAGATACGACATTTAGATTATCGACAACCAGTTGTAGCATCAGATAATCTAAGGCGATAATATGGCATTAAAAGATGCTTGAATACAGTTTGCATAACACAACGTCGGCTCTTACTAATCATATTATTGCAACTAACTTCTGTTTTGAACTGCGATCACGTTTGAGTTACATCGAATTTTTGACAATTCATCTGAAATAAACAGTAAAAGTTATAGTGCATCGCATTAAAAACACATATATTCACACATAAGTTTTATTTACGTAGAGTAGTAGATCATCAATTAAGTTTGGTGTGTTTGTTTGTTTCATTGCTAAGTTGGTATTGTATTTGTTGTAAAAGATCAAGATTAAGTTTTGCCACAAGTTTTGCTTTAACATGTGTTGACTTTATTCAATTTGTAAAAGGTTTCCATTGAGGTCATGGGCACATACAGATGTGGTATACATATTTTAAAACTGATTGAAAGTAACTATTAATGTATTTTGAATTCATATATGTACATCAAAAAAGCATGATTCGCGTATGCGTTAAAACAGTTTTCGTTCTCAGTGAATCTTGAATAATCAGTAAAAATGAAAACTTAATCAATATGTTTTATCTACTAACTAATAAGTATGTTTCTTTATAATAAAGTGTTTTAGAAATTACAGTAAAGTTTTTTCAATTATATATAAAAAAAAGCAGATTGCAAGCGTTTGATAAATACAGTTGGGTGCTGACAAGTCTTACATGTGAACGGGCGGAAAAGTTAACTCTGCGTTCACTCTGACATTTCAGTAGACATAGAAAGTAAACGGGCGTTTGCTTTTGTGTTTACTTCTGCGTTAACGAATTGTCAATCATGGAAAAGAAAATATTTAAAATCCGCCATTTAAATATTGAAACTGATGTGTTGCAATTAATTCAAGTTATTATTTCGAATTAAAAGTGTTTTTGAATTGTTACGGGTTCAAACACATTTACGTAAATTATTGAGATAAAAGTCGTTTTAGCAAAATAAAAAAAATAAACAATGTACAAATGTACACGAAATCTATTTCAATTTACACAATCAGTTAACGCGAAATATAAACGCACGTTTTTTTTTAAGTGCACGTTATAATAAACTTGTGAAATCTGAAGTAAAGACCTGTTTACTACTAACTAAAGGTATAAAACCACTTATTCATAGCCCAATTGCTTTTTATGTTAATTCTGCAATTTCAAGTATTAATGGCTACTTTGTCCTAAGTTAAAAAAAAGTAGCAGTTATTTCATGTCAAAACTATACCTTATCCTGACTTGTGCTGAAAAATTCAACATACCTTTAATTGCATATTAGAGTGTAATGGTTCCCGGAAGTTTGATAGTACAAAAACAGGTACTTCTGATCTGAACAACAGGGCAAATGTGCCCTCCTATTAAAACTGTATATACTTTTTTATTATTCAAACAAGGGTTCTACAATGATCCCAAGTCCCCAAGCTTTCATTTGATACCAAAACTACCAAATATTCCACCTATTGACAAAAATACAGCTATGCGTAGGAACTATTCTGTTTAAAATATGTACTACTTTCTTGTATGTTCTTTCCGACCTGGCCTTAATTAGTGGTTCTATACCTAAACGAACTCAGAGTAAACATGGGTTTACTCGGGTAAGCATTTGACATTTCTTTTTTGACCGCGTTAACAACATTATACATGTTATAGTAAACGCGAAAATTGAAATTAACTAATTAAATATGTGCCCGCGAGGTCATGCACGTTTTTTTTATTTGGTTTTGCACCCAACTGTAGAAATGCTCATAATTTCATGTGAAAGGTAAAACGAAAACAAAGAGGTAACAATTAAATGCAAGCAAGTATATATACATGTAAGGTTTTCTTGATTCGTTTTAGAAACGTTTTTCGTGATAAAACCCCACTGAATCCCCGATACAAACACATATATGTTATTGTGAATTAGTGATTTATATTTGAAAATCGTTTAATTCCCATGAAGATGTTTTTTATTAATATTTTGCAAAATGCAACTACAGAACATTCAATATTAAAGTTCCGTCATTTATTGTTCATATGAAATTAAAATAAATACCTTTTTCATACACTATATTATATCACAATCACTGTAATTATCATAAATAACAGCAATGTTGTATAAGAGGACTAGCATTTTGCCTTTACCTTTAAAAGCATTTATTTCAGATTTGCATACATAATTGAAAGCTAAACGATTACAATTTGTTTATTAACAGTAAAGTTCTAGCATCACGTCATTCTAATCATTCATGTTTAGTTTAGTTCACTATGGGGGAATAAATTAAACAGATTAATAGAAATTGACACCTGATATTGGCCATATATTGGCCAGCTTGAAGATAGAAATGAGAAAGTGTTTCATAATTCTCCCGGCTGAATGTACAACTTACTTTGCTATTAAATTGTAATATATTGAAGCCCCGATACAAACGATACTGACTAATGGTCTTCATCCAACAGGAAAAGTTGATAGTAGATCGATTAAGGTACGTGCACTATTGTCATTACTTGCTATCCATCATCGTCGTCTGCCGTCATTGTTGTCTGCTGTAATCATTAAGGTTCTATAAAAAAAATCTTATCTGGAACTTCTGGACCCAAATTGTAACTACTTGATTATAATGCTATCTAGTATTGAGTTAAACATGTTTGTTTTAGCCAATCAACCAACATGATCACCATAGCTAAACATGAAAAACTGAAGCTGTCATTTAAAGATAAAACTCCTTTCTAACAACACAAGAATGATCATTTGGCTCCCTACAGGAAATGAGCTGATCAAAAATACCAAGTTTAAAAGTTTGTACGCCAGATGCTCGGATTAAAAACTTCAGAAAAAAAAATTAAGTTTTAGCAAACATGATCCAAAATTCCGAAGGTTTTGCTTAATACAGCTAAAGTACTTTATTCATCGGGAGACAATCCTTATAATTTCGAAAAATCAAGTTCTTTTAAACAGGTGATTTATAATTATGACTAAATCGATGATAATCCACGTCAAGGCAGAAGTGCTGCTTTCCTTGCTGGTGAAAACCTCGGTGAAAATCCTCTTAGACTTTTCACTATTTATGAGTTTTTGTGTGTATTATCTAAACCAGTAATGGTCTACTGTTACATGTTACAGCAAAGCTGATCAGCATATTCAATATAAGACACTAAAACAGTAAAACTGTCATATTCGGGAATAGGTCACGTTCGGTACTTAAAAGACCAGACGCCGTAAATGGTAAACAACAATCTAAAACATGGTAAAAATGTCCTTAGTAAGATTAGACACAGACACATCGTACGGATCAACCAATTCATGACGGTGTCCATAAAGTGTAATCTTTCCTCCTCATAAGTTTGTTGGGGCAGTTTCTTCGTAAATAGCATACTCTCGTATATGTATTCGTATAGTGTTAACATAGAATTGAGAATGAAAATTGGGAATGTATCAAAGAGACAACAACCCAATCAAAGAGCAGAAAACAGTTGAAGTCACCAATGGGTCTTCAATATAGCTGGAAAATTCCGCACCCGGAGGCGTCCTTCAGCTGGCCCCGAAACAAACATGTGTACTAGATCAATGATTATGGACGTCAAACTAAACTCCGCAATATTTAGATGCGTCAGTGTTAAACATGTTTTTCTTAGATCTAAACCCTCCCCCTATACCTCTAACAAATGTAGAAAAAACATACACACATCAATACGCAAAGTGAAATTCAATTTAAAAGAAGTCTAAATCCGATGTCAGAATATGTAATAAAAGAAACTAAATAAAATGATAATGATAATGATACATGAATTAACAAAGGACTACTAGCAGCTACTGACATGCCAGCTTCAGACCTCAATTTAACTGATTGAAAGATTATGTCTTTATCATATGAATATCAATCACAATCCCTCCCAATAGGGGTTTAGTATCATACCATCATAACATATATGAGAAGAACATAACCAGTAGCATGCCAACAACTGGTTTAGATATATATGTGTGTTTATTTCCGATGCAAAGACCCTATAAGGGAATCAATATTAGAGCCAAAATTTGCCATTTTTAATTACAACAGTATCTTAGTTCATTAGTAGCAATATACCAACTTCACCTGCACATGGATAAACATTTCCCAATTTATTCGATATTCAAGAGCTTGCAGCTCCTACTCAGACTTTGTAAAACGTCACCAGTGTCTAAGCAGAAAGTTGATGAACCAGGGATATGTCAAAGAACGTCTTGTCCTTTTTCTAAAAAAAGTTGATCGGAAGGTATCAAGACCTTGTTGATAACTTCACAAATAATACATAATGGTCTTGATGTATAGATTATGCGTACTGACGTTGTTTATCATCTTAACAACGTATTATATTGTTCGTTCATTTGTCTTTGTTCTATTATTAATATTAATTTTACTGTTTGGTCTGTTTTATATGATATCCATTTGACGTGGCTCGGTACTTATACATCCCGTCAATGTGTTTGTATTATCTTTCATTTTTGCTGGTGTGTTTTTTATGTGCGACTTTTTGTGTTTCTTTGGTTCATATGACTTGACTCTGTAATTTTAAAAATTCCGCCAATGTGTTATTGTTCTATTATATGTCATAATGTTATTGTTTTATTATAGATTTGAAAATACTTTGAATGACAAACAACGAAATTATTTTACTCGCATAGTGGTATTAGCCATATATGGATTCTTAAAAATTCTAATGAAGTTCTGGATATTTTGAATCTCTGTCTGTTTCTAACATCAGTTCTAACATACTTTTGATTTTGTAACCCTGTATACCACCATTCCCCATGTGAAATTATAAATGTTTTGAAAAACCGTTGAACGGCAAAATTATTATATATTTATTCCTATGTGACTTTTACATTTTATGACATCAAATGCGCAAAGCAATGCATGTGGTTTTTGAATTTGATTGATGCTCTTTGAGCTTTTTTTATAAATATTCGTTTGTTTTGTGATTGTGACACAGTGATGACTCCTCTACCCATATTTTGACTATTTTACCTGTTGTGTCTGTTTTGTTCACGCATCGTTGTAAATATAATGAAATTTGATTCGACTGTCATACAAGTGAGAGGTTTAGCGCTATAAAAAAAGGATCAATCCACCATTTTCCACATTTGAAAATGCCTGTACCAAGTCAGGAATATAACAGTTGTTGTCCATTCGTTTGATGTGTTTTGTCATTTGATTTTGCCATTTCATTAGGGACTTTCCGTTTTGAATTTTCCTCGGAGTTCAGTATTTTTGTGATTTTACTTTTAACTATATTCCTTCTTAATAAGTCTGTTAAATGGTTTTGTTAGCTTTTAATGTGAATGCCAATATTTGTTGTGCTTTGTAAGGAATATCACCATAAAAGATTGGACGTGAAATACCTAAATGAAAAGGATGCCTACATGTTTATTTATATTTACGAATGATGTCCTTGTACCGATGATAAAATCTAGTAAATGTTTTAAGCAGTTTGTGATATCTAAAACCGTGTTTCCATTATTTTTCAGTAATACATAATGTCTAAAATCAAATACGTTGTGACATACATCAGAGAATCGTACAAGTTGAGATATGTAAACACCATAAGATGGTGTCAATGGAAGTCACCATCTAAAAAAGGATAATAC